GTCTGTGTGTGTGTCTGTGTGTGTGTCTGTGTGTGTGTCTGTGTGTCTGTGTGTGTGTGTGTGTCTGTGTGTCTGTGTGTTTGTGTGTCTGTGTGTCTGTGTGTCTGTGTGTCTGTGTGTTTGTGTGTTTGTGTGTCAGTGTGTGTTTGTGTGTGTGTTTGTGTGTCTCCGTGTGTCTGTGTGTGTGTCTGTGTGTCTGTGTGTCTGTGTGTCTGTGTGTCTATGTGTCTGTGTGTGTGTGTTGTGTGTGTTGTGTGTGTGCGTGTTTTTGTGTGTGTGTGGTGACCCGCGGAACTTCCCAAATGATTGGTGATTGGTGGTTTTCTTCTGTTTTACTCGGGCCTTCGCTTGTAGATGAGGTACCAACAGACGACCAAAACGCAATCGCAGTGGACAGGTGATTGTGCCAGCCGCGGCTGTGGACTCATGTCTCGAGCTGGCTCTTTGTGAAAGGCTTGGCACCTGAGGGATGCGACACGAAATGTGATTGCACCACGTTGACAATGAGTTTCACAGATTTGACCTCGCAGAATTTGCAAGGCTCCCTGATCCTCTCCAGCCACCACATCCAGTTAAGACAAGTAAAGTCTTTTCTCCACCTGCAAGCTTGGTAGATAAGACAGGCGCACCCCCAAGCAGGCAACCGAAGCACAAATTCTTACCGTTTGCAGTCAAAGACGGCGCCAGGAGGGATCAGTTGCCCCTGTGCAAGAAAGGTGAGATGCGTTGGTGGCTAAACCAATGGTACCATTTTGGGGTAGATGCACCACCCATTTTAGTCTATTTTAGTGGGGATTGGGATGTTCACTCTTGTACGGGATTTTGACCCATGGCCAGATGTGTTGGTGGCCAAAACGCAATTTGACCAATGCCCGAGGTGCCAGCAGTACTGTATTTCCGCCGTCCCGCCCGCCAGCTGTTCCTCGAAAAGCCGCAAGATGACTTGTCACTTTCACACGCGCGGAGCTCAGAGCCCTAGGGCCAGAGACTGACGAGACACGTCGGTGGTGCAGCGGTCTGACGCCGATGAGTTGGATTCGGAACGTTGGATGGAGATCTCTTCCAAGCTTGTGATTCGATTCAAGCACATGGTGATCATAGGTGTCCTTTTTGGTTGTTTTGGTCGCAAAAATACATGGCCCTGGTTTGTAAATCATCTACCAGGGCCATCTATGTCCCCGAAAATGACGCCTATGATGGTGATGTGAAAGTACTGGCGCATCTCACATGTTGTGAGCCATCGGCCTGACTGTTTGGCATCAAAACGGATCGATCCTTTAGGGAGACACTGTCTTGTGAGGGTTTCAGCAAAGCCACGGGCTTTTCTCTAGTGCCCATCTTCTGTAGCTCATGGAGACCTAGGTGCCCTCTCCTCGAGTTCATTGAAGAGGAGGGTGCTCGGTCATATTGAATTGGCGTCAAAAATAATCTGACCTTTTTGTGGAATGCTGCCCTCTTGCCCCCTTGCCCCCTTGCCCCCTTGCTCTCCGCCCCAACGTGATCACCGTTCCGAGGGTGCACAGGACATCCTGCCCAGGTCGAACTCATGAAACCCATCCATGGTTTGCCTTGACGCAGGCCTAGGATCTCAGCGGCTGAAAGGCCCAGGAGGCTCACGAGCCCAAAGCTGGTCCAAAAACGCCCTGGACATTTCCCCGAGTGCCCAACGCCGCAGGAAGAGGGCAAAGGAATAGGCGATGGGTAAATGGCAGTGGCTCAAAAAGCCGGATTTCCAAAATGGGTTGCCCTGGTAAGTGGAAGCATGGACCAAAACCTGCGGTTTGCCCCTCCGATCGTTTAATTTTGAGCCACACCCAAATCGAAAGGACGAACACCCGCGTTCCAGATCCCAGAGGTGACCCATACACATCTGGAGAAATCTTTGTTTTGTGGTGGAAACAAAACAAAAGCTGGTGCGATGGGGACCTCGAAGAGAGCTTCCGGGCGTTGGTTTTTCATAAAACCGTTTTAGGGATTCCCGAATCAAGGAAGCCATAGAACATGGGTAGGGATCATGAAAATGTCTCATTCCCCTACCGAACCAGCAAGTTGCAAAATGGTCTCCGTGTTCCTCTTGGTCTCCGTGAGAAAAACCACCAAAAAGGGGTACCCTGGGAAGCCAAATCGGTTGGATGATTTTTCTCGGGGGTCCGTTTCTCACTCGCCTCTCGAAGCAAGAAAAGTGATAGGAGATAGCTGCTGGCAGCCCCCCACCCTTCTTGCGGGTCGCCTATTCCACCGCAGCCTGGCGTGAAATTGTGGTGGCTCGTCTTGTTTTTTTCTTTTTAGGATTTGGACCCCCGAAACCACTTTAAAGAGGGTACCCTCAGAACAAAACACACTGACATATGTTTCAGTACCTCCGACCCAAACTGGAGGTACTAACATGAGAAGCTATGCTCAAAGTTTTGTGAAACTAGTTTCAGACTGAGCTCTCTAGATACATTGGTGCATGTTGCTTTGTGTCCTCAAATTGTGAAGGTCCGCCATGAATAGATGCGAAACAAGTGCAATTGGGCATAGCCATGCAGGGGTGTGGCTTAGGCTGTCCTTTGCCCAAGCTGCATGGTGCCCGCTTGATGCGATGATCCAGCAAGCAGATAGCTTGTGACCACGGAAGGGGTGATGGTGCGATCTGTCCGCGAAAAATTTGGACCCGGACTCGCTCGCGGATACCTGGGCATTGACAATGGCCAGGTTTGGACTCAATCTGGGCAGTTCAAAGGTCCCAAATCCTTACCTTGGGTTACGAAACGGGGGTGTTGTTCGTGGTTGTACCATAGGGATTGTGGATTGGGTTGTACCCACTCCATTTTGACCAGCAATCCAAGGCTTTTGGGCGTCTTCCAGCGGAAGCGGCGGTACCCTGGACAGCTGCGCTCACCCGGCCGGAAGTTTTTGTTGGAGAGACGTGAGAGCGCCAGCGCCTGGTCCAAGGAACTAAACGGCGATACCCCAACGTTCGTGCCGGCCGTTTGGAAAGAGTGGAAGCATGTTGGTAGATTGTAGCTTGAAGGTTTATTCCCTCAAACAGTTGTAAGCTTCGCGACAAGGCTCCCTGCAATTCCCCTTTGGATTGGTTGACACATCACTGTTTGGAACGGTTGAACGTGAGTTTCCTTTTGGTGAGCTGATGTTTAGTGTTTTAGATGTCGTCTTGGAGCTTCAAATCTGTAACGCCCAACAATCGCAGCAGGTGGTCTGCGTTTCTTTCTTTTTTTTGCGAGATGAAACCATAGAGCTATAGTTGTTGTTTTAACTCGGGCGGTTGCCCGCAGGACGACGAACTCCCATTGCCAATTTCAGTAGCTGGTTCTTCTACTATACCAATATATACCAATGTTTTGGTGTATGTTTATTGTTCAAGCATTAGTATACCCTCCCACCAATCGACATGGAGCGCGACATGGGGGGTACTGCAAGTTTAAAGGGACCGGGTCCCGAAGGTCAGGTTCCATGTTAACTGGGTGGGCTATGGATTCTCGAAATCCATTTCGCATTATCCAAGAAACCCTGGAATGATTTGATTGCCCTGTAAATGCCGACAACCCTTATGGTTTCAACCATGGTTTCATTTCGTGGTACGAGTTCGGGTTTCGCAACCATTCACGGCTGATGGCTGGTGGGAGTGGTATATAATTCTGGGCAAGCTTTGAGGCGTAAATGTAAATTAGGGTCCGTTTGTGGACACATGTGGGGATTCACGTCCATAAACCACGTTTGCGGTGGTTCCCCAATAAAATCATAGCGCTCAAAATGAACAACTTAGAGTTACGCAGATTTTAGTCTTCGTTGCCATTTGCCAAGGTGGCATTTTAGCACATGTGTTTGAGCCACAGCCATACTGTGAATGGATGAAAACCATTTCGCACCACCTAGGAAACCCCGGAATGATTCGATTCCCCAACGCAAAAACCAACTAAACCTTATGGCTTCAAGCCTGGCACCTCCTTTCGTGCTGCGAAAAGGCGCGGCGCGGCGGCATTACTCCACTTTTCTGGTCTTTAAACAGTGCGACTTGTGGATTTCGCGACACCAGCCGCAGTATTACCCCATTTTCTGGTCAAAAAGCACCTGGAGTCCTTAAAAGTTTAGGGTTACCCAAAAGGCAACCAAAGCTTGTCGACCACATGGCAGCAAGCCCCAGCTGACTCCAGAGCCTTCCATCCGCAGGCTCGCGGAGCGGCCAGACGCTGCGCCGCTCGTGGTCACCGAGCGAGTCTTCTGCGATGCGGGCCAGGACGGCTTTTCCACCTGCGCGCGTCGTTTGGAGCCAGTTTTGAAGCCAGTCTTGGGCGGCTTTTCAAGAGACCCCAAAGGAAAATCCCCGCTCTCTCTGTTATTTTTTTTGGAGGGGAGGTCCACGAAAGAAAGGACGCGTCGACTGGATGTCTCTTTTCTCTTCAAAGCATTGCGAAGATTCTTCAGGGAACATCGGAAGCCTCATAGCGCTGCAAGATGCACGAGAGCCCATGCGTGCTTGATTTAGCCAGTCTTCTCCCGTTTCGGGACCGGAAGTTAGCGGGCAAACAAAGAAGTCTCTATGACGTATGATATCAAAAACAATGCTGGAAATGTGTGTAGCAAACTTGCTGACACATAGATCGAGGTTGCAGGAAAACGCGCATTGAATCAAAGAATTCTCGTGTCAGACGGCCTTTGGCGAGTGTTTTCATGCTCGGCGTGCCGAGGACGAGGAGATGCTGAGAAACTGCGGCTGGCGAACAGTGGCCGGGAATGCCCAGACACGAGTCAGTGCGCCGAGTCAGGGACATTGGCCTATGGTTCGTTGTATTGACAGGAAAGCCAACCAAGCCTGCAACGCTTGTTTTCGCAGTCCCTCTCCCCATGAACCAGCTAAAAGGGTGTTGATTCGAAGCGAAGCATTTGAGAAGTGATGTTTTTTTGCTGGAGCGTAGACAGTTCTGGGGAACAAAGCGATCGCGTAGGCAGTCCGCGCAGGCTTTTCATGACAGCTCTGCGTGGGCAGGTTTGCGTAGTGCCCAGTGGTGATGTAAACGTGGCTAGTTTGGTTCGGGCATTTATCAAGAACTGGTTTGGGGGGTGGATTACGGTGGGGCTGATTTAAGTTTGGGTTTCGGGCTGGTTTACAGTTGGTTAGGGGCGTGCTGGTCTCAGGCTTGGTCAATGAGTGGAAGTTGTCGGGAAAGGTTTGTGGACAGGTTTGCAATGAGAATCTCGGTCTTTGGCCTGCTCTTTGTTAAAATGGGATATCAATTGTAGAAAGTGTTTTTCTAGTTCAAGATCCTGTGACTGCTTCAGGGTGTTCAGTAGTGAACGCTTTGTTCCCCCCCACCCAAAAAAAAAGAAGAGAAAGAGCACGGCAAGTAGTTGTTTTACGAAAGAACATCCAGCCAAAAGACACAATCATACAATATCAGTCAATGCCTCAGCCTTTTTGTGACTTGCTTCCCCTTTGTGCTGCGTGAAGGCAACACCCGCTTTGAACCAGCCCAAAGCCAAATCTTAGTCCAACCGCAAGCTCAACCGCCGAAACCAATTCCGGAACCCCCCGCTTTGCGCCAGCCTGAAGCTCACAAACCCCAGCCCCAACGATGAAGCCTGAAACCACGCCTCAACCCAGCCTAAACCAAGAGCCCAAGGTCAGCCAGCGAAACTCAAACCCACCCCAAAGCAACTTTACACCGACCAGCGTCCACTCACCCTGAGTTGCTTTCAAGAAAGCCGCAACATCGACGGAGAATTGCAAGTCGACGGAGAATTGCACCTTTCTTTCCTTGCCGAGAGAAAACGCCGGTCAAAGTCGGAGAAACGCCCTGAACAGGCCGAGCTTGAAGCGGGTTCTTAAGGGGCTGTTGCCGGTCCTTTGGGCCAAACTCGCGGGGAATCTACGAAAACCTATGGTTGCTTCGCCTACGGTGGTGTCCTAGCGTCACGGTTCCTTGTGGTTCCTTCAGCCTTATTCAAACTGGCTAACTACCTTCGTTTGCACCAAAGAGTTTTTGTGGCCCCAAGCTACTGTGGATGGACGAAATCCATTTCGCACCACCTAAGAAACTCTGGCATGATGATTCCCATGTAAATACCAACAAACAACCAGCACCCTCCGACTACTGCCCAAACGGCAGTAGATAGAAATTTCCCAAAAACGACCGTAGTTAGAAAAACTACTGTCAATTATTTTATTTGCGGGATGCCTATAGTCTAACTACTGCTAGCTACTGTTTACAACGGGGAGATGCCATAGCAGGAGTGATAGCAATCAAAGGGTGGCAGCAAGTGCAGCAAGCGCTGTCACCCCGTGTCACCCCGTGTCACCTGCGTGTCACCTGCGTGTCACCCCGTGTCGCCCCCGTGTCACCCCGTGTCGCCCCCGTGTCCCTCCCCCCCCAAAACGACAGTAAATCGCTGCGAACTACTGTCGTTTGAGCGTGTCACCCCGTCTCGCCTGCTTGTCACCCCGTGTCACCGTGTCACCCCGTGGTCTTGTTTTTCACTGTTTGGGGCAACATCAAACGACCGTAGATCGCGGATCTACTGTCGTTTATTTTATTTTCGGAACTACTGCCAAATACCGGTAGTTGCGAAAAAAAATAGACGGTAGTCGGAGGGTGCTCGAATGGTTTCCTGAGGTGGTGCGAAATGCATTTCGTCCACCCACAGTATGGTGCCAGCGCGGAGGTCTTCCACATTGTCCCGAGGTGCCTCCGCGCTGCTGCAGATTCCCCAGTCCTCTGGTTTCACGTGACGACATCCGCGACTGCGAGGACTCCAGTTTTGACGAGTTGCAGTCCTGAGAGATGGGGAATCATGGGGGCTGGGGGGGAGGGAGGGGGAGCCCAATTTAGCCCTTATTAAGCCCCTAACAAGCCCTTAATTGGGGCTTATTGGGTCCTGCGCGGCTGAGCGCAAAGACTCGCCTGTGCGTGGGTCCCGAGCAGTTCATCTGACGACGCCGCGTGTTGTTTGCAAAAGTGAGCGCTACTGCTTTTTCGGAGAGCAAGGGTTTGAGATTGAGTGCGAGAGAAAGATGAAAAGAAAGAAACAGAGGGACAGCGAGAGAGACCGAATGTGTGAACGTGTGGGTGCTAGAGTGTGCACGCCTATTTTGCGTGATGCTGTCTTGCATCTAGGGCTTGCTTACCTTGCATTTGCTCAAGAATACTTGTTGTTTTCCCCTGTTGGTTTTAAAGGGAGTCTTAACCAAATGGAAGTTACGAACATTTGAACAAATCTAGTTTGCGACAAGCCGCGGGGCCAGGACAACCCGATCGGCCTCAGCATTTGGAACATGTCCTGGGCTGTTTTCAAGGCGCGGGTGAGCATCCAGCCCCATTTGAAGCACGTAGCATGGCGATCAAAAGGGCGAGCAGTCTCTGGCTGTTAATGTTGACCCCGGATTAATAAACAGCTGTCATTAACACGGGGGTGTTCCTCTCCAAAAGTGATGAATCCCCACGAACACCGAGGACGCCCCCCATATTAATAAACAGGGGGTTATTAATCTGGGGTCAACATTATTTTGGATTTGCAGGGCGCAAAGAGAACCTATTTCTGGAAAGGACCGATCCTACTCAGAGCTTTCAAAAGAGATAGGGGGGAGATGTGATGGTGACAAACAGTTTGAGCAGTTTAGAGATGGCGTCCAGAAATTAAATCAGAGCAGGGCACTCTCCTAATTTGCAGAGCGCTAAGAAAACCTATCAGAGTTTCCATTCCGCAAACCGTTTGAGCAGTTTAGAGATGGCGTCAAGAAATTGAATTGGAGCTGGGCACTCTCTTAAATTCACGTTTCTCCTGAGAGCTTGAAGAAATCATAGAGATCCAGGTGAGCGGCGTGTAGATACTGGTACTGAACTAGCCTGATGCTCTTTGATCGTCAGATGCCTTAGGCCGGGTGCGTCTGTTTCTCTGAGTCAGGCTGAGAGTCCACTTTTGAGCCAAGGCCGATCTGGGCTCGGACTTTTCGAGAGCGAACAACTGGGGGCTGGCATGCAAGACGGCTGGCAATTACTCGCCAACGCGCGGATGTTTCCAGGCGGGTGCGGTGCCGACTGACGAGGAGGAAGAACCTCCGAAGGACGTGGGAAGTGAGCAGACAAAGGTGAAGAGCGCAAGCCAGAGCGAGGTTGAGGCGGGTGTGACGCGTGCGTGCAGCAACGGAGCCTCATGTTTGTTGATGCTCCGAATGTTTCTGCTTGCTTGCCAATGTCACACGAGTTGCGGAAGTCATGATGTTGCCTGCGCCTCGTTCCAAGCTCACGGGAACGGCGCTTTCAGGTTGCTGCCGAGATATTCATCGCGCACAAAGTCCGCGCCCCGTGGCGTGTCAATTGCTAGGCGTCGGACCGAAGGAATTTTTCAGGAGTCGCATCAGGGAAGCCGTGTGGAAAGCCCTCGGCTGAGAGAAGGCGACATGCCTTGATTCAGTCTTGATTCCCCGACCTTTAGTGTGATACCCACTAGGTGCCCCAGTGCCCTTTTTCACCCCTTTTGTGGTTGGGAGGGTTCTCCTACTAAAATAGACGTCCTGAAAAAATTGGGTACCCTTATTCTAACCTCTCAAATCTGGAGGACCTGGCCCACGTTTTGGACGTAAGTCGTTGAGGTGTGCCAGGTTTGCTTAAAAACTCGCGGATTCCGGGCCTTTCCGAGGCCTTGGAATCTCCGGATGCGTGCTCCATAGGCCAGAGCCCCGAAGAAAATGCGTGGCCGTCCAAGAGGAATTGATTCCTGGGTGGCTCCCAGCGATTCATTCGGCTCCTTAGCTTTTTAGCCTAGTGTTTAGAGGTTCCATTTAACCCACTAAAAGTGAGCAGGGGATCTGAAAACGGGCAGCCCAGATTCGGGAGCCCCCTCGGCGGCCTTTTTGTTCAGGGTCTTGGAAGCTGATGGCTTTGTGCTAAGCTCTCTTGAGGGTTTTGAGATGACCTGTCAGGTGAACGAGTGCTGAACGAGAGAATGCAGTGGGGGACTGTCACTGGCAAGTCGGGATCCCCAGGTGACTCGGAACAGCCTTTTTGGGAGAAGCGTCGGCTTTCCCCGAGAAGCGATCCGTCCAAATTGGGTTTCCTACTTGCCGGTTTCAGTTCCAAATATCAGGATCCTTTTTCGGGTAATTGTCCATGTTCAGAAAGCCGGGCACCTCTGAATTCCAGTGGAAACCCGCAAAATGGCATTGCCGTTGGCTTTTCTTTCAGGCAACCCCAAAGTATCCATAAAGACAGCTGCGCACGGATCCATCGCTCAAAACTCTTTCTGTGATTCAGGCGCTTACCTTTGGGGTCTTTCGGAGACCCTGCCTGGGGTGGAACCCTGAGTGCCACATTCTGCGCTCTGAGGCGTTGCTGTGGCTTTCCTGACAGCGTTGAGGTGGTGTTGGACTCTGGCGTGAGGAGCGATCTTCGCAAGAGGCTGTGGTTGTCAAAACCCATGGGATCCCATTTTGGGGTAGGTGCACCACCCATTTTAGAACCTATTTTGGTGGGGATTGGGATGCTCACTGGGGGTACGATTTGGATTTTGACCCATGGCCAGGAGTGAACCTGACCACAGCCAAACCGTGTACTGAGACCTTCAATGCATCGTACCATCGTTTCCGACTTTTGCTTGGGACCTCGATGCCCTCGTTTCCTTGAGATGGTGTGCCTGATTCCTTTGGTTCTGTAGTTGATCCCCTGCAGACAATTGGGCTAGGCGTGTTTTGCCTCCCCAGAGTGGAGGGATAGCAACATAGATGCACACTATTGGCAGACCTCATAGAGGACCTGGATTGAATCTTAGCCCTGAAATCATGCTGCGATCAATTGCACATGGCTTGGCTGCATGCGTTCCCGCAACTATCTCTCCCACCCTCGAAGCCTCCGTGACGTGTTGCGACCAGAGGGGGGAATCAACACACTGGACGTATCTTGGCTGCTATTGGGTTGGATCTTCTTTAACTTGTTGGGAAGTCAAGGGGGTTTTCTAAAACTTTTTGCAGGGGTTCAACAGCAAGCAAGGCATGTACTGTACTCGTAATAACTTGAATGTTTTACTAAAGCGGCACATTGGTAAATGGAACCAAAGACTAACACCTGCGTAACCCTAGCTCCTAAATTTTGAGCCACACCCAAATGTGTGGACGTATGTACCAGTATTAACTTGAATGTCAGAGTTGCCGGCACATCGCTCGCTGCAAGGAAGCACTTCCTTCCAGATGAGTCGTGCGCTCAGAAGCCTTCAGCCCAACAGCCCCTCTCCTAGCCAAAGAGGCAGGCTGCATCGCTTAGGCTTGGTCGAGAAGAAATAGGTCTGTATTGCAACAGGGCTCCTGAACAGATACATTTTGCAACCGTTTGAAGCATGGCTTTTTCCCCCAAAATAAATGGACACCACCATGTACAAGGCAATACTCATTTGTATAAGGTAAGGATCCCTGTACAATGTGTCGCCCATCGACCCAGGGCTCAACATTAAAGAGCCAGGGTCACGCAGGCTCTAGTTGTTGGCTCCATTTAGCAAGGGGCCATTTGGTACATGTTTTTGAGCCACAGCCATGTGTCACCCATTGACCCAGGGGGCATGGAGTGTTGTTATTCTTTTGATACCTATTTGTTTTCGATTGATCCGCTTGAAATAGTTTGTGCTTGATCCTTGTTTGTTTTTGTTTGATCCGGTACCCGCGGTCCCTTATATAAACGCTCGGCAAACACCTCACGAACGTTGCGCTCAACAGGGAGAGTGTGCGACCAAAGGTGCCAGCCACGAGTGTGCGAAGGTTTGCCCAGTGTCGCAAAATGTTTGTCCAGTCGACCCCACAGGACTGTGACCACATCGCTGTGACTCTTTTCTGGGGCCTGATGCAATTGGAGTCTGACTGAAATAGTGCAAATCTTCACTCGCACTTGGTTTCACGTGCAGGTGGTTATTCTTGAAATTCGCTGCCAGTTCAAGACTACGTGTAACAGCCCTTCAGGCCTGAGAAAGTGCGCGGTTGTCGGTCTCTGAGGCTCTTGCCAGTGCCTTCAGATGTTGTGGCGAAGCCGGCGCCACTACCACAGCTTCCACTTCTAGAGGACTGGGCGTTCAAATTCGTGTGAATTTGCGGCTGGGGAGCCTCGATCGTGGTCCAGCCCAAATGTTCGCCGAGTGGGTGCGTCGAAGCTGGCCGGAATCTGAGGGCCATGCTCCGTTCCATCCAAATTCCAAGCCCGTGGCGACTTTTGCCCGGCTTGGTGCGACCAAACTGGGGATGTCTTCCTTTTTTGAAAGGCGAGCCTTGCCTTTCAACCACGTTTTCAACCCACCCCATGTTCAACTCAGGTAGCCTTCCTCCAACGCACCTGTGAGAGGCTACCTGGAAGATCAGTTTCCTCTTGAGAATTAAATGCGCGGTGCCACTTCCTGGGAACAAAGGTTGTTCAACTCACCCCGTGCCAAACATGGGAGAGAGGGTTCTCAAGGGACACCAAAAGGAAACCATTCATTGCGTGGGTACCCCTGTGGATGGACGAAATCCATTTCGCACCACCTAAGAAACCCTGGAATGATTCGATTCCCCTGAAATCAACACACAATGGATGTCCATGGTTCCAATGTGGTGCGAAATGGATTTTGCCAATCCACAGCATTTTGTCACACTCTGAGTTGTTTTTGAACGGTAGCCCTGGGCTGCTTTGGCTGCAACTTGATCACGCCTGAGGATCCCAGCTGCTACCGGCTGCTGGTGCAACACCCGGGGCCGCCGGGATTCCGAGAACGTGTGCCGGTTTGGTTCTTGCGGTCGGTGGCTCAAACTTAGGGGTCCAAGAAAAAGGGGAAGTACAAGTACCATCAAAGAGAGTTAAGGAAAGGCTGCGCGTTGCCCGCCTTGGCCCAGCCGAGCGCGCAGCGTCTGTGGTTCGAATGAAAGCAGCAGATCTGGTCAAGTGGCGATTCAGGCATGGACAGGTTCTGACGTCGTTGGACCAATTGACGTCATGGGATTGCAGGAATCCCCGAGGCAAGGGCAAGGCGATGCACAGGACCAGGAGTGAGTCATGGAGCTAGCAGACAGGGCAGGCTGGGATGGGCCTTGATCAGTGGAGGCCCTGGGCTGGGCGGGCTGGCTGGACCTTGCTTGAGGCGAGTCTCAGACAGTCTCAGACATGTGAGTCTAGTTGGTTGAGACAAGTTTCTGGTTGGGCCTGGATGGGTTACTGTCAAAAGCTGACTGCGTTGGTTGGCGGGCCGGGCTGGACCTTGCTTGGGTGGGTTGCTGGTTGGGCTGGGCTGTGAGTCTCAGACACGTCAGACAAACCCGGCCAGCGGCAAGATGACCCAAGTATGGCCAGGGAGCGTCCGAGTTGCAACTAACGAGTGCAAGAGAGCAGGACACGTAAATGAGCTTCAGCTGGTGTTCCGCATGTTCTTCCTTCAACGCAAAAGCCGGAAATGGCAAGACGCGCAATAAGGCATGGCGAAGCAGCGTGGCCTCCCAAGCGAGGCTTCAACAGACACGAATATGTTTGTGAAGTCTGGCCGAACATTCAGCTGCAATTTCACTGACCGCTACAGGATTCAGAAAAATCGAGCACAGCAACAAGGCACTTAAGACGCTAAGTTGAATCAGCTTGTCGGTTTCAGGACGCGCAAATACACAAAACAAGCAACATATGCACAAAGAGGAAAGTGCCAAATGCTAGCACGGAGCGCACAGCATTTGTTTATTTAAGCTGGTGTGAGTGTATCGGATGTTGGGTTAACACCGCATCACTCCTGTTGTTTTTGGACTCAATCAGCGTCAGCAACCAGAGGCCGCCTTTTTTGCGTTCGCGGATTTGGATCCAATCGGTTGGGTTTCCAAGCCATTTCCGTGTAAAGGGAACCTTCAACCGTGGATTCGTCTCATTCGAAACCACCAATCTTGCTGGTGCTCAGCAGGGAATGAGGGAATGACCCCAGGGATTCCCCTAACGGAAACCAGAGGGGATGGTTTTTCTCCGGGTCATTCCATGTCTCATTCCCTGGTATCCGTTCTCGCAAGCAATGGATCCACTTCCCCACGAGCCCCGTGAGGTGGAGATACGATGGCAAGACCAAGGAGGACGTGGCCTTCAATCCTGAGGCTCAGATCGGTCACCGCTTACGGCTCGGACCACCGAGGTGTTGCCAGGTGCCCTGTCCAATGGAAGTGAACAGTGGGCTTCCCCAAAAGGAAGCTCGTCTTCTAGAGCCCTTCTGTCAGCTTCTGGGATGAATGCTTCAAGCAATGTGATGTCAGCTGGGATTGTTAATGCTTCAAGCAATGTGAATTCTGTTACGCAAGCCTGGGCCAGGTGCCACCGTGCTGGTTGGCAGTTTGAACAGGTGCTTTGTGTATCAAGATAGGGATCAAGTGAATAGGCGGGATCATGTTCATGCCTGAGCGGCCTGGAAATTGTGCTTGGCGAAACCTGGAGAAAAGAACAGATTGAAAGAACGCTACAGAGCTCAAGCAATGACAAGGAGAAGGAGGAGACAGTTGGAGACGTCATTGAGAGCTCAACAGAAATGCCTCACCCAAGAAGTTGTTTGCAGGATATTCGTGCTTTGCTCGAGAGAGAGTGTGTGTGTGTGTGTGTGCGCAACTTGTTGTCCATCATATAATCAATATAATCATTCCATTCCCAACGATAGCGCATCGTCATTGACTGAATAGCTGCCACCTCAGACTGTTGCGTGCTCCTTGTACCGCTGTCCAGCTAAATGCTGTGTATGATGCATTATAGCAGTTTGGTCGCTGCTCGCATGGCAAACCAAAGCCAGTTCTCAAAGCACCTCCTTGCGAGTTCCCCCAGCCGTCTCAACATGGTTCTCGGTGATCTCAGACCGATGTCGCCAACCTGAAAGGCCAACCCGGACTCATTTGTGGTCTCAGTCTCCGCCTGTGCGGGCCCTTGGGGAATGGGCTGGCGGATATGCCTGGACCGAGCTTCTTGTAGAGAGTTTGACCCAGCAAAATTGCCGTTTTGGCCTCATTTCTGAAGCTCACATGGCACACCACCATTCAGGGCTGAGTGGTTGGCTGTGTCGGCTGTGCTTGTGAAAGGTTCAAGGCTGTGTTCGGTTGCCTTGTTCCAGATGGACTGGAAACTGTTTGCAAAAAATGCAAAATCCATGGACACTAGCCACGAGTAAGGTTCACAGTTCACACTGCCGGGTAGTGATATATTTCTTTCATCCCACACTGGCGGCTACATGCAAGGGCCGAAGACTCGCTTGAGTCAGCCAGTGAACCCTAGCCAGCCGGTGGAACGCCCTTGTTTGTCACAAGATCCTACGTCTCCGGTCCAACCCTGCTGAAGCAAATGACTCGAAGGTCCACGCAGAAAGCCCCAATTCGGTTTCGGATGGCATCAATGCCACCAAGGTCACCCGATGGTCCCCCGTGGTTGCACAAGTGAGTACTCAAGGCGATCCTTGGGTTCAAAGAGACTAGCTCTCTGACTTCGGCAAAGCAGCAGCTTGCAGGATAAAACTGGATTGGCGTAGCAAGCGGAATCTTCAGCATCGCCTCCCGGCCGCAAGGTTGCGAGGGCGGGCGCGGCTTCCGCTCCCCGCTGACCAGCCGCAACGACAAGCCTTCGCCGCGGCACTTGGGGCGCAGGAGGTTGACATCAGATCGGAGCTTGTCGAGCTGCCGGAATACGCCAGTTGAAAAACCCATCTCTGAAGCAAAGGACGGACCGAAAAGGCAGTGTTAAGCAGCATGCCCGTTGAGGCACATCCACGTGGTTTGCATTGGTTTGCCATGCTTGGTTTTTGCATCAAACCAGCCGATGCAGTTAGCTTTCTTCGTCCCAAGGCTGCAGTTTTACATGCCTTCATCCATATGTTTATCGCACTATTACTGCCCGACACAGAACAACTAGGCTGGCAAAACTTCCGAAACTAGAGGAGCATGTCGGCGCTTTGGTATGCTGAATTGGCTCCAAACCATGGCAAAAGAAAGTGAAACCGCAAAAAAGCAATATATTCCCAACCCTCATGAACAGCAAAGCTTTTGGCAGCATTCCAAAGCATCCCCCGGAACTAACTCAATCCAGAACACTAACGCAGCGATATCAGTTCCTTACCGAGTGCCGCAGTGCACAACGACGTCTTGAACGAAATTATGTAAAACGATAAAGCGCGAACCCCCTCAAAACCATTGCTTTCCTTTCCAGAGGCTCCCCATGTATTTAGGGCCCTCAAACAGCCAGGTTTGGAGACGGGTGTCTAATGGAGGAGTCGGGTCTTCCATTGAAAGCCCTAGGAGCCTCTGGGTTGAAAGCATGTTCTAGACTCGGAAAAACTTTAGGTGGGTGGCCCAAACGCCGCACTTCGGCTCACAGAGCGCAAATCAACTCACGAAGCAGAGGCTAAGGATGGGAGCAACCCAGCGAGCGCCAACTCCGCAGTGTTCATTTGAAGCGTTGCTGTTTGCTCTGCTTGACGTTTGGCGCGAGGGCGGTCACTTTTTCAGGGGCTAAGACTGTTTTTGGACCGAGGTCAGGCTATGTGTTCTACGTGGACGGGGAGGATCAGTGGGAGTTTTGGGTGGGCGACGGTGACTATTGGTGCGGCGTCCAAGGTACTGGACTCAGATCGAGTCGAAGCTTCGAGAGAACGCGACCAGTTGTCGGGGTGTCAGGTCCGCCGGTTGAGCAGAAGTGGACTGAGCTCGTGGGCCTCTACGATGCTGAATTGCGATCTGCAGCGCTGGCGTGTTACAGAGTCGGGCGTGTTCGGGGGTGGGTGGGATTTGGGTTTGGTCGATGTCATTTGGTTTGTTTGCCCCCCGCAAAACAACAGGATAGAAGGTTCATGACAGAAGCCAGCATAGTACGCATGCGTGCGGGAGCGCCTTTCTATACCAGGGCCAATGCTTGCATGGGCAAAGCGGGCAAACGGGGGCATCAAGCCAAAGGCCCAGACTGGCGCTTCATTGCTTGTCCAGCAAATGTGGAGCTGGCGGGGTTTCGAATCAACAAATGACGATGCTTGGGCAAGGAGTCAAAGAGGATGTGACAAACTATAATCGCCATCCTAAATCTTTCAGACCTTTGCAAATCGTTGGGCGCGTAGATGTCTCGTCCAATGAGGTCATCACGCCTTTGTGACTGATCAAGGGCCAGCAATGAAAGCAACATCGGTTGCGGTTGACTTGCGCTTGCGTGCAGCTTGAGGTTGCGTTCTTTGTCGACGGCACTTGCGCTGGTGTTCGAAGCGGAGTTGACTTCAGACCGAACACTTTGTGCCCCTTGAGGCGCGAAAAGGCACCAGATGGCACCAGAGAGAGCCTAAGAACTCGACAGGTCTCGCCCGAAGCCAAAAGAAAAACGATCGGACAATGGACAGGGAAGCCCAGCCATCGGCTTCTATGGCAGTTTATACCCCAAATGAGACCGGCCGAGGGCTGCACTTCAGCCCTTATGTTTTTGTTTTTGGGATGCAGGCGACAAGCCGAATATTCAGATGCCCACAAAAGCAACTTGAAAGGGTAGAGGATGAGCTATAGGAGGAAAGCGTCCAAGTGGCCGAAAGATTCAGCCAGAAGACTGAGCAACTTTTCGCGCAGGATTGGCGCTGGCAGGCGCGCGCCCCAGCAAAGCGCATTCAACAATCTCGACCGAGACTGGAGATCACACCTGGTGGTTGCACTCCGCTTTGGGGCTGGGGGATTGACGCGGCCAACATTGCTGTCGAACATGAACAACCGACAGTGTGGGGCACACTCACCAAATGCGATCAGGGTGATATTGGCTTGCTGGCGAAGGTTCCATGTCAGTTTTGGACACAACAAGTCAAGTCCGCTTGGTCTGAATCAAATCTGACACATGTCCACGATGCAATTTGATGAGCTGCTACTGGATTGACACAGCTCCGTTGCTGCATCGGATTGTTCAAACAAGAGGCTCCATTGGTTGACCAACTGCAATCAAATTCAATCTTGGGGAGGGCCCGGGAGTCCTTGAGCGAATTCAATGTGGAGGGCCCAAAAGTCAGAAGTCATTGAGCAGTTTCGGAGTTCCATTGACCTTTCCTCCGGCCCGGAAGTCATGGAGCATGGAGCATTGGGTGTCGGAGTTCCATGGACCGAGGTCCGAAAACGAGTTCGCGAGATACTACTGGACTGGATCAGTCCGCGACATCAAGATCTACCAGATATTGCCGAAGTCTGACTCATAGTACTGGTCATGGCAGCTGTACGTGCTGCACATAGATCAGAAGGCACTGAGAAGTGAGTTGTTTTGTTTTTCTTTGCACGCCGTACATGGAGAAACAAATAAACAGTCAGGACAAAAGTTGCGCCTCGTTGCCCTTCTTTGAGAACGCAACCCTTTCCGGTTCCTTCTCACGGTCGAAATTCCACACTCCACACCCTTCAAAGTGTTTTGGTTGAAAGAGCGTGATTATTGACATCCCACGTTTGCACACATTAAAAAAGGAGTTGGAAGTCGATCCGCGGGTGATCCACGGCTTTGCAGAGACAAGGAAGAGGCATAACAATTCTGCGGAAAAAAATGTGTATATATATATATATATTGGCGGCTGCCTGCATTTACAGAAAACTTCAGAAAAGGGCAGGGCAGAAGGAACACGCCCCAAAACAAGGTAGGGCCGTGACATACAGGTGCTTGAGATCACACGTATTTCCGGCGTTGGACAAAAAAGGGTCAATGAGTCCAAAGAGATTGGGTTGGGGAACGAGGTGGGAACTCCCCGACCATTCAATAAGCCATGGCTGGCACGATCAGCACCGAGCGCACCAAGCACGCTCTGGGTGCACCGAGTACCGAGTACACTACGAACACAGGTTCTGACTGAACAGCTACATGATCCCGTTCCCCCTCCAAACAATGTTGGGAGATCAACAAAGAGAACAACCTAAAAAAAGCAAATTGAGGCTCAGCAAGTATTGCTCAATCCGGTGTTAATTTGGTTTATGTGTACTTTGGGTTGGTCTAGTATTGTTTACATTTGGTTTAGTATTTGTTGAGCATCCTACTTTTTGGTTTAGTGCGTTTTAAGCTTGAACTTGACTTAACAATTGTTATTTATGTATCTTGTGGATTGCGGATTGTTTTGTTCCTTCTTTTCAACACATATTTAGCAGGCACAGCGCTTTCGCAAAGTCAGGTAGAGAGAGACAGAGATGGAGAGATGGATGGACAGATAAATTGATGGATAGAGAGACAGAAAGTAGATAAATAGATAGACAGACAGACAGACAGACAGACAGGCAGGCAGGCAGGCAGGCAGGCAGGCAGGCAGGTAGGTAGGTAGATGGATAGATTGGATACATAGATAGAGAGATAGAACGATAGGTAGGTAGATAGAGAGATAAATTGAGAGAGAGAGAGAGGAAGAGACATAGAGAGATAATGACTGGATGGGTCGGTCTAGATAGACAAATAGAGAGAGCAATAAATGGGAGAGAGGGAAGAGAGAGAGAGAGATTGACAGAGAGAGACAGAGAGAAGAGAGAGAGAGAGAGAGAGAGAGAGAGAGAAAAGAGAGAGAGAGAGAGAGAGAGAGAGAGAGAGAGAGAGAGAGCGAGAGAGAGGAGAGAAGAGAGAAGAGAGAAGAGAGCAGAGAGAAGAGAGAAGAGAGAAGAGGAGAGAAGAGAGAAGAGAGAAGAGGAGAGAAGAGAGAACAGAGAAGAGAGGAGAGAGAGAGAGGGAGAGAAAAAGAGAGGAAGAGAGAAAGAGAGAAAGAGGGCGAGAGAGAGAGAGGGAGAGAAAAAAAGAGAGGAAGGGAGAAAGAGAGAAAGAGAGAAAGAGAGATGGAGAGAAAGAGAGAAAGAGAGATGGATGGATGGATGGATGGATGGATGGATGGATGGATGGATGGATGGATGGATGGATGGATGGATGGATGGATGGATGGATGGATGGATGGATGGATGGATGGATGGATGGATGGATGGATGGATGGATGGATGGATGGATGGATGGATGGATGGATGGATGGATGGATGGATGGATGGATGGATGGATGGAAAGGTGGATGGAAAGGTGGATGGAAAGGTGGATGGAAAGGTGGATGGAAAGGTGGATGGAAAGGTGGATGGAAAGGTGGATGGAAAGGTGGATGGAAAGGTGGATGGAAAGGTGGATGGAAAGGTGGATGGAAAGGTGGATGGAAAGGTGGATGGAAAGGTGGAAAGGTGGAAAGGTGGAAAGGTGGAAAGGTGGAAAGGTGGAAAGGTGGAAAGGTGGAAAGGTGGAAAGGTGGAAAGGTGGAAAGGTGGAAATAGGGAAGTGCAAGCGGCAAGTCAGGTCTCCAGTTTTAGTTTCATTTGCCCAGTTTAGATAGCGAACGGTTTGTTGTCGCTGCGACTCTGCGGGGCGGCTGGGCCAGGAGATTTACCTGTCGCCCATTCTTGCTCTGGGCTTTTGGCCAGAGTGGAACTACATGGAGGACTGTGCCCAGCGCGTGGGTCACGCGCAAATCTCCTTACAGGGGGGCACTGGCGAATCAGGGCTTTGATCGCACGGCGATACAGGGTGGCCCCTGTAGATCAAGGTGAATGTTCATGCCATAAAAACTTCCTCGGGTAAGTAGCTAGCAGGAATGTTTGGGGCATCCTGGAGTTGGCTTGGAGTTGGCTGGGAGGAGTTTGGAGTTATGACAAGCGCGGCAGGGGTGGGCGGGCGGTTTGGCAATTGTGGCAGTCATTGTAGCATTGGTCGGCACCATTGTCATTCGTAGGTATGGCAAAGATCAACCTGTTCAGAGATGCCGGGCAAGCTAGGTGGAAAGGTGGAAAGGTGGAAAGGTGGAAAGGTGGAAAGGTGGAAAGGTGGAAAGGTGGAAAGGTGGGTGGGTGGGTGGGTGGGTGGGTGGGTGGGTGGATGGAAAGATGGAAAGGGGGGTGGAAAGGGGGGTGGGTGGGTGGATGGAAAGGTGGGTAGAAAGGGGGGTGGGTGGATGGATGGATGGATGGGTGCATAGATGGATGGTTACGCGCCTCGTTCCCACCGCTCTGCGGGTTATGCGGGAATTTTTAATTATATTTGATTTTATTTAATTGGTTGCGTATTTATTTATATATATATATGTTTTTGTTGTTTTTAATGGTTTGGTTTATTTATTTTTATTGTTTATATTTTTCGTTTTTATTTTGTTTTTGTTATAAATCTTTATTAATTTATATTTATTATTGGATATATTACAATATTGTTGTTATTATTTGTTTAATTTAATTATCGGTTTATGAAAATATTTTATATATAGAAAGATAGATGATGGATATATAGATAGATATATAAATAGATATAGGTGCAAAAAGAAATTGAGAAAGAAAGAGAAAGATAAATATATATATATATATTTAGATGAAGAGAAAACCAGGAAGAATCGAATTGATAAGGGGGGAAGGAAATGATTATTGAAGGGAGATGGGAGGAATTCGAAAGGAAAAAGGAACCGATAATTTAGATAGTAATATATTTTGATAATATATTTATTGATATATGTATTTTGCAAAATATTCGTATTTTTGTAGTTTTTGTAAAAAAATCTAGAATTTTGATGGAATCTTATTAAAATCTGTCCGGAATTTTATTTTTCCAATATTTTGAATTATAAAGAAGAAAATATAATAATATATATATATATTATTATATTTATTTAAAATGGTATATCGAATAATATATAATATTTTTTTAGTGTTCGGGTTACTCCGTGGGTCCTGGGGCATTCTGCGAGAATATGATGTTGTTGAGAATCTCGCCTGAGCCCCAATGATTAAACATTTTGGGGATTTGGTCCAAATAGATTCCGGGATGGTCGGGATCGATCTTAAGGCTAAGATTTCATTAAGGTTGCGCTAGGATCCCACCCAGGAATGCATTAATTGTTGTAAGCGGGATGGTCCGGGCTAATTTGAGGTGAGATTCTATAAGGTTCTACTAGGTTATTAAGGTTTTATTAGGTTCTATTAGGTTTTATTAGGTAAGGATTGCGGAGTGGTTCGGGATGATTTAAGGGTAAGGTAAAATTCTTGAATTCTAGGGGTATGTTTTATTAGGCTTTAGGTTTTATAAGGGTTATGGAGTTGTTTAAGCTTGAGGATTCTATTAGAATTTTGGCAATCAAATATAATTTATAAAATTATTTTTTATAGAATTAAAATATATATAATACAATAATTATTTGGATTTTTTATATAAATCAAAAACATCTTATTTATCTCAAAATATATTAGTCCGATATATATCCTCGAATTTAATATTATATCATTAATTTATTTAGATATATATATATATATAAATTCTAGAATATAATTGATAATTCAATCCAAATCTTTAAATCGAGATATTCGAAGATGTTAATCGATAACAAAACAGAATCGGAAGATAGAATCTCGCTTACCCATAACAAAGCGCCACTTTAGGCACATAGATTATATCACCCGCTCTAAAACGAGAACTAAACCAATTACACAAAAATACCGAGAGCCTCGATTCAAAAGACACAAATTCCTTATAATTCAAGGAATGATAATTCTACCTAAAACAAAATAAATAAAATAAGTATAAAGGATATCATAATATATCAGAAACGATTAAACTAATCATCGAGAATAACAAATAAACAAAAACAAAGTATAGTTCATTTATATATACGACCAATTACCGGCCGATAATTTTCCTATGCCAAATAATAATTTCTCTGAAATTTAAATAAAATTCGGATATTAAATTGGATCCATATAATCTATTTTGTTTTTTTTTACTATTATTATATATAAATATAATTCTCTATTTTTATTAAATATCAATTTTCTTATTTCCTTATATTAACCTATACATCAAACATATATAAAAATAAGAAACATATATTTCATATAATTTACTTATTAAAAATATATATATATTATAATTAATTATAATTGTTTAATATATATGGGGAATTAATAAAACATATACAATTACTTAAAATATATAAAAAGACCAAAAAGAACCCAAATAACATCATATAAAAGAAATTTTAAAATTAATCAATTATATTCTCGACCCATATTCAGATATTTAACATAAATATTAAAACGATAAATACAAAAAAATCTTTATCAAAAAAAATATATATAAATATATTTAAATAATATTGATAATGGAAGACATCTTGCATGAATTTATAAAGCTACATGTTTGCCACCCAGCGCCCCCTACTTAACATTGAGTTGCGACGAGCAAACCCGCTTATAGGTTGTTAATGGCCTAAATCTTGCATAATCCAACCTAACTTGGCCAAACTGAGCACCAATGTTAAGTAGGGGCGCGGGGCAAATCGTAACGAGATGGCATGGATCTGTTTCAAAAGAGATACAAGATTTCTTCCATCCACCGACTGGTATAGAGGGCGTTTTGTTGCGTTACTTCATGTCTAATTGCTGAACCCGTGAACGATGCCGCAAAACAAAGCGCTTCGTGCCCTATGCAGTCAATACTCAATCAATACTCAATCAACACTACAATCAACACTACAATCAACATTACAGTCCTACAGTCAACACTCCCCAAATCCTAGCAGGGCCAGCAAATCCACAAATCAGACAATTAAAAGGTTAATTTTATATATTTTAATTGTTTCATTATCAATTGTCAGTGGCCCTACCAGGGTTTTGCTAGTATTAATTGCAGTGTAGTGTTAACTGAGTGTTGATTGTTGTATTGACGGGGAGCTACCAAGATTCCGGAATGTGCCGTGTAGGCTGCTTCATACGCCCACATTTTGTAACAAGAATATATGTTTGCCATACCGCGCCCCCTACTTAATATTAAATCACGACGAGCAAAACCGCTCGTAGGTTATTAATAACCTAAATCTTGCATAATCCAACCTAACTTAGCCAAACTAAACACCAATGTTAACTACGGGGCGCGAGGCAAATCGTAACGAGATAACGTAAATCTATTTCAAAAAAAATGCAAAATTTCTTTGGAAATATAATTAATATGTATTTATATATATTTTATATAATACTTATTTATGTTTTAGTGAAATTTTAAATTTTAATATAATATTTGTTTTTTCTTTATTTATATATATTTCCAATATATAAATATAAAATTCCAATAAAAATTATAAATAATATATTTTATTCCATTTTATACCAATAATTTTCTCACACACCTATATTCTAAAAATAAAAAATAAAACCCCAAATTAAAAAAATATAAAAATAAAATTATTATATATCTAATTATTATTTAATAAAACAAAAACAATAAATATTTATAACATTCCCAGAGGTTCCTTTGACTGTGATATACTCAAGCGAGGGGTGCAATTGTGTGAGGAGGAGACGACCCTGTAATCCGGCGACGTTGGCTCATGTCAGGGTTTAGCTGACACACAGAGAGTCACATCTGATTGTGCAGGTCAGGTTAAATCCGGCATACTCATCATGTTCAGTTTGAATATCAAGAATCCCCTTTGTACTCCTGCTATGCGTGCTATCGAATGGACCGTGCCCGTTGGAAGAGGCGCCGCCCTGGACTCAGCTGAAGCTGGCGGTGCGACTTTTTTTACACACAAAGCACCGCTCAAGGTGTGTCCATCGAAGGTCCCGGCGCCCAGCCTCAGTTGCGATTGCACTTGCGGCCGGTCTTGCTCTGATTGGCATTGGCATGGATCGATTCAAATTTGATGTTCAATGTTCAAGACCAGCCATGGCGGCCGTTGAAGCCATGGAACCCCCTGCCTTCAAGTATGCAGAGCGGCAATGCCGCACTGGGAAATGTGCTCAACTGCGCGTGTCCTGGGCCTGTTTGGAAACCCCTCCACAAAATCAGTGCTTTAGATCTCATGTGCCAGGATTGGCTGACAAGCATCGGTATCCTGGAACGGGACTCCTTGCGGGACCTAAAGCACCGGCAAAGGCACTTTGATGCCAAGAAGGCAGGCTGAACTAGTCTGCGAGGGTTAACCCATGAGTTCTCCAAAACATTATGCGTGTACAGGGTGGGCAAATGCCTCAACTGGAGCTACGTGTTCCTTGTGCAGAGGAAAGGCTGGAGGAACAGGCTGGGATCAGCTTTTTGGCATCATGTATCTCTAGCAGTTTCTTTCCCAATTGCAATGTCAAACACATCGGGCAGGTTCATGCGAACTTCAGCCGGTTGGAGCAGTGGTTCAAGCTCTTTGGGAGGGCCACTCCAACTGGGAAGGAGCTGGAGGCATCAGAGTTGCAGGGAGGTGTAGTCAAGTACTTGAACGTTTGGTCACTCCTGGTAACGTCCCCAAGGCAGCCATCATGGAAGCCAACGACAGCTATGATTTCCTGACTGGATCATTGCTGAGGGATCGGAAGGCAATTCGTTTGGGGTTAGAGGAATCCTTTTGCCAGCCCGCTTTGTGAGGCCCAGGCCTACGAGATGGCCCTGGACTGGAGGAGCCTCGTGGCAGACTTCCTGACAGCAGAGCGGCGGAGCCCAGGAACCAGGCACTCAACTTGTTCATACACCATTGAAAATTGCTTGCTGTTTATGGTTCAATCATTCTTCGCCAGTTTCTTGTGAGGCCTGGGCGTCACAATGAAGAAATGTGTGCGCTGAAGAATATCATACGTGGAGTCTCTGGGCCACGGCCGAGACTTAGCCGGGATCAGGCAACTGATATTGAAATGTCCTTTGACCCTGTGTCACATTCATTTTGGAGTTGATGTGACAGGGAAGCGCTGAAAGCAACAAGACGGACGAGGCACTGGTCGAATTCATATCCCTAGCCCGCTAATGAAACATGACCAATCTACACAACCCTGGAAGATTACAAAATACATTGACCCTTCACGTGCCAAGCAAGATCCCATTTCTTTAACAACTTGAGTGCAGGATGAGAATGCAAAAGACACTGAGAACGCAGCAGCAGTTGCATCAAACAAAAAGCAGAGTAGCAAAGGAGACAACATCAAGAAAGGAGGCACAAAGGACAAAGGATCAACAGCTGCAGCAAAGCGAACACCTAAATCAGAAACAGCGAAGGAGGTAGAAGCTGCTGCAGCAGAGGCTGACGATAGCAACAAGACTGAGGAGTTGGAAGAGACACCAGGTGGGCAGGATGAAGCAGCAGATGCAGCAGCAGGGGATGAAGAAGGAGATGCTGGTGAAGGAGGAGGAGAAGAAGCAGACGATGAGGAAGCAGCAGAAGAAGAAGAAAACGAAGAGCCAGAAGCAGAGGATGAAGTTTCAGCAGCAGCACCAGCAGCAACTGATGAGGATGAAGAAGCAGCAGCTGAGGATCAAGAAGCAGCAGCTGAGGATGAAGAAGCGGCCTTTGATGATAAAGAAGTGACAGCAGAGGATGAAGAAGCGACAGCAGAGGATGAAGAAGCGGCAGCAGAGGATGCAGAAGAAGAAGAAGAAGCAGCAGCCGAGGATGCAGAAGCAGCAGCCGAGGATGAAGAAGCAGCGGCCGCAGAGGATGAAGAAGCGGCAGCAGCAGAGGATGAAGAAGAAGAAGAAGAAGCAGCCCAGGATGAAGAAGGGGCAGCAGCAGAGGATGAAGAAGCACCAGCTGAGGATGAAGAAGCAGCGGCAGCAGAGGATGAAGAAGCGGCAGCTGAGGATGAAGAAGAAGAAGAAGCTGAGAATGAAGAAGCAGCGGCAGCAGAGGATGAAGAAGCACCAGCTCAGGATGAGGAAGCAGCAGCAGCAGAGGATGAAGAAGCAGCAGATGAGGATCAAGAAGCAGCAGCTGAGGATCAAGAAGAAGCAGCTGAGGATCAAGAAGCAGCAGCTGAGGATGAAGAAGAAAAAGTAGCCAAGGACGCAGAAGCAGCAGCGGCAGCTGAGGATGAAGCAGCAGCGGCAGCCGAGGATGAAGAAGCAGCGCCAGCAGCTAAGGATGAAGAAGAAGAAGAAGCCGCAGCCGAGTTTGAAGAAGCAGCAGCAGCAGCAGCGGCAACTGCTAAGAATGCAGAAGCAGCAGCAGCAGTAGCATCTGAGGATGAAGAAGCATCAGCAGCAGCAGCAGCTGAGGATGCAGAAGCAATAGCAGAGGAGGCCGAGGATGCAGAAGCGATAGCGGATGAGGAAAACATCGTACAAGATGAAGAAGCAACAGCTGAGGATGCGGGCAACGAAGAAGCCAAGGAGCCGGAGGAAGAAGCAGAGGATGAAGAGGCAGCAAACCAGCACAAAGAAACAGAAGCAACGCACAAAGGAGCAAAGGCAGGAGAAGCAGGAGAGCAGGCAGTAGCAAATTCGAAGGTGGATGCTGGGGAAAAAGCAGCATGCGCAAAAAAGGAGAGGGCAAAAGATAGCAAACGGAGCAGCAGTAGCAATACACAGGCAACAAGTATGCAGGCAGCGGTGGCTGCAGGCAAGCACGGACATGGCAAAGACAAAGCCAATGCAGAACCAGGAAGGAAGCGCAGCAACAGACAAACAGCAAAAGCACAGGAAGGTGCTCCCAAGGCGGGGGAAATTATGAACTACATTGACACGAATGTTACAACTCACAGTCTGGCAGTTGCTACATACACCCCTGAGAGAAGAATTGGCTGGCAGGGTTGGCCACGATTCAGAAAAGCTAGATGCCACTTCTTGAAAGTTGGGGCAACTGATTCTGTTGCAAAGCCTGTGGTGAGCCCTGGCCATGAGCTTACCAATCGTGTTACCACTTGGACTGGCTGGGACAAGTACCGGGTAACCAGAACACACTTTGCCCGCCCTCCGAATTTACCAACACGACAACAACTTATGGCAGCAGCGAACAAAAGCCTTGACCTGGCTGAACGTCCCTGGGCGGGGTGGTCCAAATACAGGATCAAGCACCCCTACTTGGACAAGGCATGGTGGGTAAAGTATGTAGTATCCAATTTGCAGGGAATCTTTCAAGTTTGAACACAAATGCCGACCTAGCTTCAACCCTTTTGCCACAATGCTTGTGAAATCCAGTACCTATGCAACGTCCGATTTATCCCACTGGCTGGCTGTCTGACCCTCAGGCAATGATCAACCCCTCGGAGAAGGAGACACAAGTGGATGATTCTGATGGCACCCAGGGTGCCATCGCAAGTGATGAGGAAGAAATGCGGAAAGGGAGGACTTTGGTCAAAGGCACCTTCAAGGCCTGCTGCAAACTGTTTTGAAACCCTTCGAAGCCACATCGTTTCACACACACATTGATCATGATGTTCTGCGTTCGATCAAGAGGTCTGACGTTTTAACAATGAAAGACTGAGCCTGGATAGTGTGTTTTGCTTTCATAATTCTTGGAAAACTCAAAATCTTATTCTGTGAATTAGCTGATGTTTGATAGGGATGTCCCTGCAACACCTTGTCATACCCACCCCCCTCGGCCAGGACAGGAAGCCTCTTGAGGAGAAGCCAGCGGTGATCCCGGATGAAATCCAAGAGCGCCTGCAAAAGGTCTTGCTCAACATGTTGACAGAGGATAAGGATTCCCCTGAAGACCTTCTCAAGGCAATTTAAGGGCTTCAAACAAGAGTTGCATTTATGTCGACTCCTGATTTCCCTTTTGAGTTTTTCTCTCAATCGCACATTGCAGTTTGCATTCAATTCCTGCATGGTCAGTGTTGTTTAGTTTGCCCTTGCGGCAGGCCCAAGCAAAGGTGCGAAAGGCTCTGAAGGAAGTTACTGCGCCAGAGGAAAATGCAGACAACTGTGAGGGACAGAAAGCGCACCCCAAAAAAAGGGGGAGAGGTAAGGGTCAAGGAAGAGGGAAAGGTCGAGGAAGGGTCAAGAAAACAAACAGCAGTGGCAATGAGCTGCAGCCTGCAGACATTTCCACTGCCTGTATGGACACACCGCAGACAAACACAAGGCCCGCGTTGAAGCGATCGTGTGCCACGGCATGCTTTGCCGCAGATATGCAGGGCCCCAAAAAACAAGCAGTTGTGGAGGAACACCAGCCAGCTTCCCAGTCTGCAGCCCCTGCCTCAAGCAGAAAGCGAAAGGCAGTGCAGCCTCCTGGGCAGGAAGCCAATCCAAAAGCTGGCACAAAGACAAAACGAACAAGATCCAAGGTGTCGCGGGTTGACCAACAGGCGGTGGAAGAATTGCGACCGTTGACAGAACCAAAGGAGGCCATTTGGAGTTGATTGCCCACACACACCCATCAGTATATACATCAGTATGCATGTACCCTGTTGCATCGCAGGTGTTCGCCAAGATCCAGGCCCTCCAGCTGCCAGACCTTGTTTTACCACACGAGTTCCCAAATGATACAAAGTCGCTTGGTGCAACCAAGTGCTCATTTCTATACACCCTTTGAAAATATGGAGTGGCCGCCTCCTTCCACTTGATGAGGTCGATATCTTTGCAGCCTCCAACCCATGCATCGGGAAAGAAAAGCATTGGGGTGCTGTTGGAACCGCTTCTTGGCTTACTTTCGAGCTTGCGTTGCAAAAGTTGTAATGTATAAGAATGATTAGCTACCTTCAGGCGTGTGGCTGGCTTCTATGTCAGCAAGGTTCCGGACGAGATCCTGGATCTCCCGGCCAAATATGACTATGCAGTGAACCAGAAGGGCGGTGTGAGCATCAACATAAGGAAGGAGGGTATCAAAGGAGGGCTCTCCAATTGCAACATTATCCCCCTAAAGGTTTGCCAGTTTGCTATTCTGCCTGCTTCGAGGTGGCAACTTGCAACAGCATTTGCTGGCTGGATTGAAGATGTGGACTGAGCTCAGTAGTCAGCAATCCCATCTAGGTGTTTCAACATATGCGCCCATGAGACCTGCCATCCTTTTCTGAATGCAACTTGATGCACGTGTGGCAACTTAACTAGTCAATTTGCATTTGATTGCCAGGGCACAGCGGGCACAGAACATGGAAGTCGATATGTAAGTGAACCTGGATAGGCAATGAGTTGGCCTGGAGGGCAACTGCAATCAAACCCAATAAGTCCGATATGATGATCTTGGTTTTAGGTTTATGGGGTTTGTTGGGGCGTTTGAGCCAACTCGATGCCTTGCCACGTTCACTTTAGGTTATCTTGCCAGTTGGCTATTTCTAGCCACAGGGGCCTGGCAGCTGAGTGTCCGCAAAAAAACACGACCTAGAATGCACGCTATCGCACCTCATTTGCCGATGCACCATATATTGACAAATTGGGCATTGCTTTACGCTGGAAGCATTTGAGGCTTTTAAGGGCGTGTGATATCCCGCAAATTTGCAAATATGCCCTCGCCATGTGACCCCAATGTGCATCCACTGGCATTGAGCCAGCGGAGTGCACAAATGCTTCTCCTGCTGGGAGCACCGGCCATCCTGCCACGGCCTCAGGGCGCATACACACACACAGATCAATAAAAGCGACTGCGATCAGGCTCCACCTTGTCGACTACATATGCCAAAGCACATCACCGCTATCAACAAGCAGCCGGAGAGTTTGGTTCTCAGTCTACATTCTGAATCATGATGCTTCAATGTTTTCTTGGTGGCAGGACCGAGACACCTTTGAGGTGTTCTCAGGGTCTGGTTCAATCTACAAGGAGAGCTGTCAGGCCCTCGATATGTGACCCTTCTTTTCATATTTAGATCCAACTGCCAAGTTGGTGAGGCAAAAAAAACTTGCATTCGCTCGATCCTGAGTTTGCAGCTGATGATGATGATGTTGTCGTAGTCCCTGCTTTACCTGCAAGATTTGCTTGCAAAACTTGCGCAGGGACTATTTCGAGCTGACATCCAACCGTGGCACGCTGAATGACATGGGCTCTGTGTTGGAACCCCAGTATACTGATCTGCCAAGTTGCATTCTGATTTATTGAAACCAAGGCCTGGATTCATCTATTGTCTCAAAGGGGCCCTTCGGCTACGCAAACAGGCCCTATTGTGGGGTGGAGTGCCTTGCAGCCTGCTTGTCTTCATGTCGTCTGGCACCCACCAACGAGGCTTTGAGAACGACATGATGGGAGACTTGTCGTTGCCTTCAGTTCGACAATCGAACTTGTTGTTATCAAGATTTTGTTTGATTGTCCTGGTCTGCATCTGTAGAAACGTTTGGTGGGCCATAGAACAGCCTGCAAGCAGCAAGCTGGTGGAGACTCCATACTACTCGTACCTGATGTCCCTTCGCTGCCTCAACCCCAAATTTGTACGACTGCCGGGGCCTTATCAAAAATTGGACATCATTTGATAGTCGAGGGTCATCCGGACAAATGCGCATTTCTGCAATTTAGGTGGCTCGGTGCCTTTGGACATTGGGCATGCAAGCCAACACAATTGTTTGGAAGTTGGCTGATGGCTCAGACTACACGCACATGTGTTGCCCGCTGCCTTCTCGGCTTGCTCGCTCGCCCAGGCCAGGTCTTGACAAGATCTACCTGAAGCTTTCGCGGGCCCAGCGGCGCAGAATCAAGGACCATCAGAAGCGCACGGGCATCCAAGTTGTCAAAAAAACTCTCAAGCGATCTGGTGGTATCACAGTGCTCCTTGGTAACATACATCCGTTTCTTGAGTTGCTTAGTTGGCGCACTCTGAATTCAAACCATTTGTTTTCCATTTGAACTAAGGAGTGGAGGAAAGGATCTCAAAAGTACACAGTCCTACCCAAAGCGATTCGCAGCTCGTGTCACTGCATTGCAGTGCAAATACAAGGCCATGCTTTTGATGCAGAATTGTTTTTGGATGGAATGTGCATATTGAATGCAGGGCAAAAAGGAAGAGATCTTGGACTTGAAAAAGCTACCCCAGCAGGACCGATACTGTGTTCTAAATGTATGCTTCAAGCATCAACCACCTTTTGCCTTTCAGGAGCCTCCGCGTGACTGGTCTGATGCTAATTTGCGTCCACTGGAGGAATTCCTTTGGAACAGAATCCAGGATGGAAGTTTCCAGCCGCAGTTCAAATTCAGTCGGCCTAAGGGCCTTTGATGCAATGGTGGCTGGACCTAAATGCGAATTATACAAGTAGTATTTGCATCATGTGGAAATAATTAGATTTGTGGTACAATTGCAATTGGCGTGGCGCCAGCTGGGAAAGTGAGCCGAGCTTTGTTGCTCCATGAGGCTGGTCAGGTACTCTGATCATGACATATCATGACTTTGTAGCATGATTTTGGAAAATCTGTTGGAACCCATTGACCGTGAAATCTCGGCTAATGACCGTGAAATGACAGCGAATGACCGTGAAATCGCGGGCAATGACCGTGAAATCACGCACCCATTTTTTTGCCAAAAAACTCCCCCGGAAAAAAAAGGGGTCATTTGACCGATTTTGTAGCGCCCTCCCAACATGTCGCAGCATGGTGGGGTGTATGACCCTTGGTCCGACCAAATCCTGGACTCGTCCGGGGCCCGGCTTGTGGACCTTTCTTCCCAACTCCCCACCTTTGGCTGGCAGGCGAAGCAGGAGCAGATCTCGTCCTCCTGGCAGCGGGCAAGGCAGTTTGTGCAATAGGTCACCTACATGTACAGGTAAGTGTGGACCTTTAGCTGGCCAGGAAAGGACACCCAAGCTGACACGCAAGACACGCAGCCGCAAGACTCGCAGGTTTCAGTGGACAATGGAAAACGAGGTACCCAAAGCATATTCGGGGCATCAGCGCCCAAACGGTTGAGATCAACACACACCATCGAGGACAGTCAAGATACACAGGCGTACCAACACAGTTTGTCGAATGGACAGGCTGGCGCACCTTCAAATTCGAAGGCGGGGGATCCTAGCGCAAAAGCACAGGCGGCGAAACGAGCAAAAAGTGCACCAACAGCATCAGCAGCAAAAGCATCAGCACACACCAAGCCACCTCGTCGTGCCACATCAGCAGCACCTTCTACTACATCAGCAAGTGCAGCAGTTGCTGCATCCAAAGCCGCACCGCCACGAAAGAAAGTGCCAGCACAAGCAGTCAAAGCGGCAAGCAAGGCTATCACCAAAGCACCGGCACCATCACCAGGGGCACGTGCACCTCCTACAGTGCCCAAGACTGGTCCTTCTATGCAGAACCCCGCTGCTTCTACACCTGCAGAAGCTCCCTCAGCCAAAGCCACATCGCCAGGAATCAATAGAGCGCTCCCTCAAGGGACAGCATTGGCAAGCAACAACACTTCTACTGCAGGAACTGCATCGGCAAAAGCACTTGCACCATCATCAACAGTACCACCAGCTGCAAAGCACAAGAAAGCACCGGCTTATGCCAAATCACAAGGTCCCAATGCACCGCAAAGCAGCAAGACACGCCCTGATGCATCCATACCTGCAGTAGCTCCCTGCAAAGCCACTACACCTAAAGCAGCAGCTCCTACACCTGTGGGAAACAAAGCATCAGCTCCTACACCTGTGGGAAACAAAGCAGCAGCTCCTAAAGGAAAAGCACAACCAAGCAACCAGCCCAGCCAAGCAGCTGAAGTTCCAACTGCAGCCGCAGTCAAACCCAAAGCCAAAGCCAAAGCCAAAGCAGCGATGCCTGATCCAAATGCTAAGCAGCAAGTGGATCTTGTGGACGCGGCTTTGGCGCGAAAAACAACTGCGGAGATCCTTGATGACAAAGAGGATAAAAAAGAAGTGGACAGCGAGGAATCAAAGCGAGCTCATGCTCATTACATGCGATTTACCCGATCACTTGCCAGTCTGGAACTTACCTAATCTATAATTAATCAGCGAAGCGCATACTTGATTGCCATGAGGCAAGTGCACCCCGGCACCTATTCGGAAAGCAGCTTTGCGAGCCCGTGCAAGTCAGCGACCAAGTGTGCACATGCAGCAAGAGAAGTCAAACGACCGCAAGGGTCACTTTCAACAGGTGGCCTGGGAGGGCCTTTTTTGCTTCAAAAAAGACCCCCCCAGGCCACCTGTTGAATGTGGTCGCTTGACCTCTCTTGGCAAGTGGTTAGGTGACACGAAACAAAATATGCATTTATGTTTACAGCCATTTGGATGCACTTTCTTTGCCAAGGCAAGAACGCTGCAACCATGGCAGATTTGTACGAGGATTTTTTTCTCAGCCGTGGTGATTGGAAGAAATCAAGAACATATACCAAGCTTGGCCATTCCTCAAGGTTTCGGACAAGCCTTCGGCGCACATGGAAAACCCGACCACAGCTGTTGACGCAGCACCTTTATGTTCAAACAAGTATACATACATGTAGTGGTGCGTGTGTTCTTCAGAAATGGCATTGCGTGCGCATGTGTGAAAACATCAAATTGCTTTGAGTGCAAAGGTATGGCGACACAGCTTTGGTGGATGAGCTGGTGCGGGTTAAGACTGAATCGGGTATGTCACGATACCATCCAGAATTCCCTGGAAAAGATGCCACTTAGCTGGTTTGAAGCCCCCCTTTTCCCTGAGCGCCAGCCTGCTTTGAAGCCACCCTTCCCCCCGGGCCCGAGCGCCGGCCTGCTTCGACAATCACCCGTGACATTCTTGGACTCACTGATCCTGCACCAACATGTCACAATCCGAGGCGATGAAACAGTTCAAGGTGTTCGATGAGGAGTATGAGGTGGAAGAGTCTGAGGATGAACAGAAGTGCGGGGCAGAACATGAATATGCAGATTCAACGTCTAGCAGTGATGAAGATCAAGTGGAAACACCGCCTTCAGGCTGCACACATTTCCAATACATCCATTTGGTAATTGCATTTGACTTTTGGAGCTTGTTGGTTGCATTGGACTCCTGAGGCCTAAGGCAGCTCCGGAGCCAAAGTCTACAAGTGGCAAGAAGAAGAAAAAGGGCAACAAGAAAAAGACAAAGATTGCTACGAAGCCACCATCCACAGACCCCAAACCGCAAAAGTCGTTGGATGCGAGGCGAACTAAGGCCTGGCATGAAGTCATACTATATTATGGAATCTGATCACAAAATCTTTGAAACCTTGTAGCATGGCCTTTGCGAAACCCTGCCCTAAGCCAGGTCTTCCAGCAGATTGCGACCGCCACCTCAGCGAGCACCGCCTGGCATGCCAAATTGGTTTCTGGCCAAGCGTGGCTGCCCGAGAAACTCATGTATGACAACACAGTGCTTCAAATAGACAGTTGGATGGCTCGTGATACCTCTGAGGCCTGCTAACTAACCTGGTGCAAGCCCTACAGGAAGATTTGAAATTGGTGGTACAAGATTTGAAGAGCAACCGGGACTAATTGGAAGCTGCTAATGAAAGCACAGAGGCAAGTGTCCAGGGCGTGCCGTGTTTGTGCTTGGAACCAAACCTGCCCTTTGTTTGACACACACACACATTGTGCACAGGTGGAAACCTTGCTTTCGGACATCGCAATATCGATGAACAAGTATAACGAGGCAATCAAGGCATGCAGAAAACATGTCACCTGGATGCACTAGCGATTTGTTTCTCTTGAAACAAGACATATGCCCTGTGAGCCATACCGACCTTGCAAATTGTACAAGGAGGCATGTTTCTGTTGTTACAAAAACACATCAACTCTGTAGGGGGGATATTACCAGTTGACACTACCCCCACCAGCAACAATTGACATGCGCCATACCATAATTCTAGTTTGTTGAACGTGCAAATAAGTTTTGTGGGACTTTGGAAATTCCCCCTGTTTTTTTTAAAAAAAAACAACAACATGGTACACAACTGCATATGTTCCTTGATATAGGGAGAACAATCTTGCAGTTTCAACAAAGACAGACCCGCAGGGACATGGGAGGGTGGCATCCAATAAATAGGTCCAAGGTTTCCAGGCCTCCAGGGGCTTCGCTGCCACCAATCTGATGCCACTACCTGGCAGGGAGCGATGTGTGTGCAATTATTCTTCTTTATCACCCCTGACCAAGAAAAGGGGGTATTAAGTTGGAGGATGCGTGGGGTATCAAGGCAAATGCTTCTAGATTTACGGCAATTACGGACCCTCTTTGTGCATTACACAAAGCGTTTTTTGAACCATCCGGGAGTTACCAACAGGAATGGTCTGACAACTAAGTACCTTTGGAGATTGACCAATCTGGTTGATGTCTGATTGGCGTTGTGTTTTCCCTTGCAAGGATGTTGTATTGAACGAACTGCCCCTTGTTGCCCACAGCCTTCATTATCGAGGGGCGCCCTGAGGCGCCGAAGAAAATGTCCAAGGAGGAAGAGAACGCTTGAATGCTGCAACCACTGCAGCATCTGCTTGGGGAACTAGGGAGCTCCTTTGAGTTGTCACCTGATGATTTGGGGCGTCTGGTCTGCAACTGAAAGTTGCTTCGTAGAAATGGGGAGGCCTATATGTTCTCTCTTCATGTATAGGCTTACAAGTCTTTCCTGGAAAGCCAGGGCGTGTATCAGCGGAGGTGTTTGACTCGAATATTCAAAGATTAAGTCATGTGTTTTAATCAGTTGGATATCTACCATCTCCTTGATACTGGGGTTTGTCGGTGCACACTTGTTGCGGCGGCGCGTGGTCAATAGAACTTGGCCACTAGCATGGTGGAGAAAAGTGCGTACTTTGGATCAGCATTGTGTTGATGCACAAGCATATGCTCTTCATTCAATATGAGCTTGACTACCATGTTCCCAAGGTGCTACGCAATTCTCGGACCATTTGGAGTCATGCGTTGGGAATGGGGTCTGGCACTTACTCCTAGCCTTGCTGGCAGACACAATGAGTCACGTACTGTGCGGCCGGTTATCTGGGCGCTTCATACAATGTGATCGAATATGTCATGTCATTATTTGTCTTGCCAGGACAGTGTGGCTTCTGCAGTGATTTCAGCTAAACATGCCCACGAGGAGAACTGCTGTTTGAATTTGAACCACATTTTGACCAGTGAGCATATTCGCAAAACAAGCAGTGCTTGACTGAAGGAAGCAACTGCTGCTTCTGCTTCGCACCACTATGGCCCTACCAGCTCTTCACAAATGGGGGTAGCTACATCGCGCTTGGAACGATATTCTCATGGCACCAACTGGTCAAGGAACTTTTGGAGCACCGCCAAACTTCCTGTGGCAACTTGTCTCCAATTCAATCAACAAGATATGTTGTTTTGTTTTGGGGGCATGATCCAAAGCGGAATTGATTTGGCTTCCATACTGCAGGGTTGTAAACCAAACTCAGCATCACCCTAGTATCCCAATGGAAAACATTGCCTAGTTGTAGCAGCCTAGGATTTGGTGAATGTGTCTACTTGGGTTAACCTCGAGGAGGACGGCGACACAGTGAAGTGTGTGCCCATGCCAGTTGTGAACATATTGAGCCTCGTTGCCTACTTGTTTAACAACCACGGCATGGTGATTGAAGAGGAGAATTTGGCTAAGTATTGGTCGTACATGCGGGATTTTTTGCCCTGGGGGAAAACCCATCCTGCAATTTTGGAAGGGGGGCGCCATATACCTCTTGGACTTCATGGCGATGAAGCTCGCTACACCTCTTCAGGTGGCCTTCCGCAGAAAGTGATTGCAATCTCATTATCGCTTCAGCTATGGAGACCCTTAAGCATACGCAATTCTCGATTCTTGCTGTTTGTACTTCGTGAATCGATGAGCCTGGGGAAGAGATTATTATTCCCAATTTGGCGTTATATCGCCTGGGCGTTGAACATTTTGTTCACTGGGCTGAAGCCACAAAGAGGCTACTTGGGCATGAGGCTCCCGTCACAAATGCGCGCGCCTGATGCATCAACAGCCAGCGAATCTGACCGCTACCTATGCCACAACAGAACCAAATTTGCATTAACAGAGCTGAGAGGGGATTGGAGCTGGTTTTACTACTCCCTTTGCCTGTCACCTCACTGGGTTTCAGCCTGCCCGTGCTTCAAATCATTTGCACGCAAATCCCAATCGACCCTGGAGCCTCTGGATTGAGGACTAGCGCCAACCACTTTGTCTTGGCCATCGAGCGGGCAGGTCGCTACCTGCTACCTCCTTAGAAAAATCCTGCTAGGCTGCTAGTTTTAGAACATGTGTGCGAGTCAAGGTCAGAGGCTGAAGCCAATGCAATTGCTGGTCATGGCTATGCGTTCTTGAATTTTTTCAAAGCGCTCGCCAGACTCTCGCTGAGGCTGGCCCTCGGGGCATTGTTTCAGTTTACATGTATCTTATATTCTTCTGTTGCGCTTTTTGAGGAAACAAACAAGATGACCCAACTCAACTGCAGGCCTTTCCATAACACGTTATTTCCGCTCGCAATTTTCTGTTTAGTCCCGGGTACCACTACTCATATGAGCCTGGACTTGCTTGTGCGTGTTTCTTGTACCCAGGCTACCCGCGCTAGCTTTAAAAAATGCTTGTGCTTCATGATTGTGTTTATTGAACTGACCCCCAATGGGTTAATGTCTGATACTACTACGCCTTGCTATTGCCATTAAGTACTTGGATTCTGCAAGCACGTGTTTATCCACAGACGGAGATGGATACTTGTTAATTTCAACCTCCCCAAAAATGTCCCAACCCTGCATGCTTTGAATACCTCGAAGATTTGGGTAACGATTTTGGGCTTCAGATTGCTGCTCCCATCAGTAACCAAAGGCACGGGCCACAGCAACATTTGGAGTGCTTTCTGCTGGTTGTTTGTTCACCCTAGTTGTCTTAGCAAGCGGTATATCCTAGCCTCATGGATTTGCAGGCAGGGCAAACTACGCTGGGTGGTGATCCCGAAGTGTCATGCGGCGCGGCGAAATCTTTCATGATTATGGCCTCAACAACCCATGAGGGCAATATGTCTTTTTTGAAAGCTAGATGTTTGATTGACTGCTCAAGGCCCTGACCCATCAGATCCAGGAAATGATCAGTTTCAGCACCTTGGCCTGCTGGAACTTGTCAAAATATGCTCTTTCATGTTCCCCGTTGTTTTGAATTGGTGGGACTGAGGGCTCAATTGCCGATTCGAGTATACGATGGCTGACGAGGACATGATGAAATATTGCAAGAGCACTTCGGAGGCAAACATTTATGTTTGCAAGGGAAGCTAATTCACATTCTTTGTGCGAGGTCTTTGCACCAATGCTCATAAGAACACCTTGCATCGTAGCGTGCTTCAGAGAAGCCTCTTGCGATTGAAGCAAGCCAAATCACTGATAAGGACATGGGGCGCCTTTTGCATATGCAGTTTCACGGAGCATTTGATCATGTTGAATCTCTTGAGCTGTCCCCGCAGGACGATGCGATTCAAACGTGATGAATCCCTAAGAGTGCCAGATTGATTAGCGTATCTCCATATGGAAAAAAAAAAAAAAAAGCATCGATCATAAAAGAACGGAACGACCTTGTATAACAGAGGCGAACGCACCTCTGGGATTCCTATAAATCTCAATTATACATTTAATTATGTCATACATCTAATAATTATAAATAAACATCCATTCAAAATATACATTTTATACAAACCTACACATTATCTATTATTATTTACAATATCTATTTGTTATTTCTATCCACAAAAAAAATATATATATCACAATTATCTATCATAATTTTATCATTTCGATTTACCAAATCTATATATTAAACAAAATTATCCACTTCACATTCCACACACTTTTCCACAATCCATTCTACCTACATGTTCATCCAAAATTCAAAAATATTTTCTTATAAAACACAAAACCAACCAATTTTCAAAATCTAATTATTTTTTAGAAATTATATTCATTCAATAATATTATCGGGTATTATATAAATATATCAATATCTATATTATTATATGTATATGTATGTATATATATATATCATATCTCAATATTATTAAAATTGTATGTTAATCCCTTCCGATTATTCTTCCAACCTAACCGTTGTTTGTCCTTCGACGCCAACTGAGCCATTTGAGGGGGACTCCTGGTTGGCTCGACATCTCTGCGCCCTCGGCCGATGCACATTATCGCGAATGAGTCATCAAAACGCTCTTCCAACGTCTCCCGTTTTGCACGGCAGTCCATCTCAAGCACGCTTCTCATTGCCGCTGGCCTCTTTGGCACAGGAGCCCAAGAAACAAAGGGCCGGCAAGCAGATTTGGCAATCAAATGGCCAACGCCAAGCCGTTGACGTCGGTAAGAAAGAAACGTCATGCCCGTGGGCGTAATATCAAGTTGTGGTGGCTCAAGCAGCCGTTCTCACACACTAGAAGCTTCTCTTAGAAGGCATCTAGGTCCTCCAGTAGAGAGGTTAGAATAAGGGTACCCTTTGTTCTGTAGTCTATTTTAGTAGGGGAAGCCTCCCCAACAAAAAAGGAGGAGAGAAGGGCACGACTAAAAACTCCTCATTAGGCATTCTCCGAGGGCTTGTAGTCGACCCATCTCCTGAGGCGCCCTGGTAATTCTGGGCAGGCGCCGAAGCACATGACATGTCCGCCGCCACGGACCCACCAAACATCGCAGCATTGCAGGCCTCAGGGCGCCAAAAAAAGACCAGTGTCTCAGAAAACGACACAGAATCTGCTCCCCTGGTAAAAGTGCATAACTTTTAGTGGTTTAATTCGGAGAACCCATCAGATGGCAAAACGTTCTCAAGTCCTAACATCCCTTTGCAAATTGCGCCAAAGGAATGAACAGGAAACCATTTCACTGTTGCCAAGTTGTAACTGCCAATGCGGTGCTGGAGAGGGCCCGGGGTTCGGGGGCCTGCCGAAACAAAGGCCTTTGCCAAGCGGCTGATGGCTGTGGTTGTCAAAACCGCTTTGGGATCCCATTTTGGGGAAGGTGGGTGAATTCACCACCCATTTTAGAACCTATAGTGGGGATTGGGATGAACTCACTGGGGGGCTAACCGGGATTTTGTTTGCAAGCTGGACGCTTTTAATTGGGTTGACCGATTTGTTTTGGCCGAAGTAGCCACATGGCTTAGTGCTTGTGGCTGAAGCGTCCGCTTTCCGAAGCCGAGAGGAAACCATGCCAGAAATATTGAAGCTGTTCAATGCTCAAGGTCTTCGACTTTCTTGGATTTCTAGAAACATTGATCATGGGCTTAGCAATGGGACATCGACAAGGGAAAAGCGTGAAAATACCGTGAAATGGGCGTGAACGTTTTTGTTTGCAGTGAAACGTGAAACGCCCTGAAATAAGCAAGCGAAAAACCACTCAAAATTTGTCCTGGCTGGCATTGCGTGCTGCTGGGTTTGAAAAGGTCCTGCTGAATGGATGTGTCGGGAAGACCATAATTATTCCATTGATGATGCAGAAATGTGTTGCTTTCGCGTTGAGGCCTTTGCAAGTCAAGCTTAGCGTGGAAAAGGCGCTGACGATGTGAAGTTTGATTTCCACCCAAGCCCCTATCCCCCAGCTAGGCAAACAAAGGATGTTCATGTAATTAGCGGCCTTTGTTGTAAAAGCCTTTTATCCCCCAGGGCTCAGTTCCCCCTCTTTGATTTGCAGCTCCCAGTCTGAAACAACCATGTTCATTCACCAAAAACAAACAAACAAAGCCTTTGCACCGCCCGGGCCCGCCTTTAGCGTCGAGGGTGGTCCTGTCTACCACGGGGTCCTCGAAAAACGCCAGTGCATGGGCCTCTGGAATGGTGTGGACAGATGATCGGCTTGGCTGCATGTCTCACTTCGTGGATGGCCCCGAAATAGTAAACGAACTTGTTTAAGCGGTACAACCCCGAAAAGTGACCCGGAACTCCAGCACGGAACTCAGGAAGCGAGGGATTGTTGCCTTCCAACTCTCCGGTTCCCAGCGAATGGAGCGAATATGGAGCGACCTCTTTTGTTGCCCCGTTTGGGGGGATGGTTTGAATAGGAACCCAAAGAAACTACGCACCCATGTCGCTTTCACCAGAATTCTTCAGGGCAAATGACACTTTAAAATACCACATGCCCTCCCATAGAATGTTTGCCAGCAGGCACTGGCTTTCCCCGATTCGGATCCATTGTTTTTTTTTCAGGGTACCCATCTGTTGTCTTTGGAATCTGGAAAGGGAACCACCAGAGGAAGGGTTCCCCTTAAAAACGACAAGAAAACACACACTGCTGACACCATTCGGACCTCCAACATCCCCCGGGCATCCCCAACGGTTTCCGGTCCTCGGGATTCTGGATCCGAAGCACTTCCCCGGCCGGCAGAAGCTTCCGCAAACGCATGGCAAAGGCATCTTCGAAGCTCTCCTTGGCGCCGTCGAGCGGCGCAAATTTCAGACATCAAAACCGATTCCCTTCGCTTCTTCGCCCCCTGGAAAAAATGAGAAAAACATATGTCCAGTAGTGATTCCCTTAAAAACCAACGAACATCACAGCATCTTAACACATGGAAGATCAACAACGATCGCACACATTTGTGGGGTCTGCCTGGAGTCGCCCTCTGACCACCCGAAAATGAAGGGGTTATGACCACATGTTTAAAGGGTCACGGGGACTCCAGGTACCCAGAAACATGCTTCAAGAACGAAAAAGGCGGATATCCGCACCCATCTATTATTCATCTTCACGAACCTGGGTTTTGATTGTGGCTCATTTGGCTCCCAAAAGGACTTGAACCAAGGAAGCGGTTGGCTCTCTTTTTCAACTTATCAAGGAAGCGGGTTTTCAAGGCCGGTGTTCACAAAAAAAACGTGACATGCTCCAATAATTGTTCCTTTGTCCAGGGGGGGAAGGGTATAATAAACATATGCGCCACTCCAAACTTGTGACAAAGATGCCTCACTTCCTCAGTGGATTGGCCAACCAAGTTTCGCAAGCATCCACAGTGTCACTTTTTGTGCGTAGCCATGGGAAGATCGGTCCCATGGGTGGATAAAATGCACATTTCATCTGAAACCACAGAGAAAACCAGGCCCAGCCTGTGCTCGTCACGCAGGGCTGAAAGCGGGGATTCAAGCACACTTGTTTAGATGTGTGTTGTTGGATCTTGCGAGCAGTTCAACGCAAAGAATCCACGAAGTCGGAGTGGAGTTCTGGGCTGGAGCGCTTGCCGAAAGACAAGAGTTGCTGCTCCGGGAAGCGGGTGATGCATTGCCGTGGCCAAAACGAAAAACAACGCTGCTGGCAGTGCTACTGATACTGATGCTGGCTGCATCACCGGCATCATCAGGCTAGACAAACTCTGGTCGTAGTAGAGACAGTTCATAGTTGGCGATCGGTGGGTGATCCTCAAACAGAATAATGAAACACATCAAGCAGCGGAAATTTGCAGCATAGATGGCAACGTACAACTATCAACACAATGCAAACATCCCATTTCACCCGCACAACACATAAGCATGTCCTGGAACAAAGGATTTTCAAGCGGGAACAACGCTGCGACGCACCAACTTTAGCCAGGCACAGTGGATGGATCTTAGATTCACCCACATGCCTTCTGAAAAGAGGTGAATGCTAAAGGTGGCAAGCAGTTCTCCAATCTGGGAGTGAACTAGGGGCCAAATCGAGAAAACAAAAGCGGTATGTGGTCAGTTCGTGGCAAGTGGGTGCTGTTGGGGTACGTCCATGAAGTTTTGGGGCAATCAACCGCTTTCCGCCTTTTTAACTTCCATTTGAATTAAGACCCCTGGAAAAACATAGATTTCCAGTAGTGATAGATTCCCTTTAAAACCAACAGGGGAAAATTAAACATATACCTAAGGGAAGTTAAACATCTTCTGCTGGAGCTCGGATCCCCAATTCGCTTGCCATTCAACCGAGCAGCAAAGGGCGCTGCCACCTCTTCCAGCTCCACCTGCTTTCCAGCCGCCCGCTGCATCATCACCTCACGGAAGCACATTGATGCTTGCTCCAGAGATTACCTCCCACCCCTTCTCACACGGAATCTGAGGTTCGGGACCCGCTCCCTCTCAAGGACAAATTTTGACCCACAAAACCCAGCAATGCCTGGCCCTGCTCACCGTCTCGGTACACCTACGCTGCCGTGTACTTTAAATGGAACACAGGACTTCCCGAACGTCACGTTCCAAGTTTACTGGTGGGAGGGAAACATACTGTGGATGGACGAAATCCTGCACCACCTAGGAAACCCTGGAATGATGAATCCCCGCTAAATACCAACAAACGATGGCTGCCCATGGTTTCAGAGTGGTGCGAAACGGATTTCGTCCATCCACAGTAGAACCCCCAAATCAACACCCACTTGTAGAGGAAGCTCCTTTTGGGCTCCTGCCGTTCAAGCCCTCCGACTGATTTCTGACTGGCAAACGGACCATACTAGGGTTCCTAGGGGTGGGGGTCCCCCTTTTAGAAAGGAACACTTGTGTATCTATTTTGGGGGTTCCTCTGAGTGGGGGCTCTCGAAGCGAATGCAAAGTTACATCTTTGTCCTCTCACGGGGGTTCGGTTCAATCACCCCCGCCTCGTTTTGTGCCCAGGCCGCTTCAGTGAAGCGCCGGATGTATGACCAGGTAGGCGGCCAGGGAAACCACGGCCCTGCGCTTGGGACGATACCACGAATTCTTGCAGCACCACAAGCAATGTTTCACTGTGTCGTTGTTTAGAGGACCCCCCCACCGCCCCTTCTCCTCCCACTTTTCAGCACACACACAGACCAAACAAGATGGTTTCGTATCAGCTTCCCCACAAAAACCAGGCAACAAATTGCACCTCCCTCCCCCCAAAAAACAAACAAACAAACAACAACAACACAAAACAAACAAGAAGCCAGAAGAAAAAACCAAAGATTTCACACCCATGGTCCATTGGTCAGCAGCTTCCGCCTTTCGGGCATCTGAACAGCAGGCCGCTGCGAAGGTTCACCGCCTCGGGCAAAAACAACAACAAACCAAAAACAGGAAACAAAAAACACAACAAAACCAAAAAACAAAACACACACACACACACAGACACAAACAGCCGCCACTTTTTGTCAGATTCGGCGTCTACCTGGATCCTCAACCATGTCCGTCCAGGACTCCGACCTCTCGCTCAACGGCTCCCTCAGCACATTGCTCGATCCCTTGGTGAGTCCCCTAGCTCCCCAACGGCTCCCCAACACCAGCCAGTCAAATTGGGAAGCCACCGCCCCCTGGCCCCATTTTGAGGCCATCAGCCCCTCTCCCCCAATTTTTCCAAATGGGTAGGTTTGCAGGTAGCTGGAGCATCGCTCACAATGTGGCTGTAACTAGGGACCCTCTTGGAATGAAAACGACCACTGGGAGGCACCCCCAACTTTGACACACACCCATACGTATCCATGCATGAATGCACTCAGGTCATGTGCTGCATGGCTGCGTGGCACCAGGTATATATCAGGAATGCCGCGCTTGAAGGGGGCGCCCTAACTGACGTCCAGAATTGTCATCCAGCTGAGCAGCCCAGAAGTGGAGGGCCAAGGCGATGTCGATTCCTGCAGTCAGAGAAGTTGACGAGCGCTCATGGATGTGGCTTTCTTGATGCCATGTGACCACGGCGCTTTGTTCTTTTCTCATAGAACGGGCAGAAAGTCTGTGCTTGACACAGGAAGCAGGGAACTTTAGCAAGTGGCTAGTAATCATAGTGATGACCACCTTAAACCACTCTTCCCAGGAGTTCGCGGATCCTGGTCATTACCAGTCGCCACTTACTCAGTAGCGTGCCTCCTTAAGCCAAAGCGGCTGGCGCAAAGAGCCCACTGCGTCATGGTCTCGAATGTGGTTCGTATGCAGTCAGGCGAGTGCACCGAAATGAAGCCTGGCGTAGCTGCAGAGGTGCACGCATGCTGTCAATGACTGCTGGGATCCTCTTGGCTCCAGGATTTGAAAAGAGGGAGTTAGCAAGTCCAAACCAACACCACCTGTAGACAAAAAGGGGACATCAGCCTCAAATGGGTGGACTGCAACTTCAGCTTTCCCTTTTTTGGGAAAGCTCCCCGTGTGTCTGGCAACGAAAGACCAGTTTGTTTTGGACCCCTTCGTTCGCCTGCTGCAAAAAGCCACCGCCGTGTAGCTGAATGTTCATCCACAGGATAAATGGTGTGGCATGCCATGGTTCAATCATGCCCCCCCCCATATGCGTTATTGAAGTGCTTTGCAATTTGGACAAAACAGGTCTTGATAAGATGGCTTAGACAAAATCATGCCCTTATCAAGTCCCAAGAGAATGTCTTTCTTAAGGGCCCCCTTTTTGGGTCCTTCAAAACCAAAGGGAATCATCCACGTTTTGGGTCCCCCGATTTCAAAAGCGAGCCTCAAAGGTCCATTCAGCCAGGAGGCGCAGTCGACACAAACTTTGGTAGTCGGCATTGCCATTGTGGTCTGGAGTGTTGCCGTGCTCAGTCACCTGCAGTCTTGAAGTGGGAGTCATGTGTGTGTGTGTGCATTGAAAGGGAGGCAAGGGTCAAATGCAAACGGTGGGAATTCTCCAAACATTGTAACTTGTTGCCAGTGGCCGATTTCTCCGAGAAGGCATGACAGCATGGGCCTCTGGAGCTATGTCTTAAATCCGATGCACATAGAGGGCTTGTCAGGCCGACCCTGCATGATCACCCCTGGACAAACGGAGCCACTACCAAGGGAATAAGGGTACGCTTTTTGCTGTAGTTTATTTTACTAGGGGAACCCTCCCCCAAAAAAGAAACGGCAGAAGGGCACTACTGGGGGACCGAGTAAAAGGGGATGCACAAACCCTGGAAAAAGGCACAGACCCCGTGCAACGTGGCCATCTGCTTCTTGAGGAGAGCGAGTCGCCTGGCTCATGGGTTTCAGCAGCTTGTCCGCCGCCGCTAGGCTCAGCATTCCCCCCACCGAGAAGCCGAGGGTGATGATCTCGCCTGAACCGCTTGCCCCTCTCCCTCCCCTGGAAACCCTGGATTCATCACACCCAGTTCAAGATGGGGGGTGTTTCTGGGCTTCCGGTGGACTCCGGCCACTTTTTGCCAAGGGACCTACATGGACATATTCCTCCGGGCTCCACCTTCTTGGATTGGGTGGTTTGGCGGTGTCCCCATTCCCCAGAGCCCGAGGCTCGAAGTCCGAACTGACGGACCCCGTGGGAGTCTCCCTTAGGCGTCTACCCGGAGCGCGTTTGAGTGCGGCTCCTTGTCTTGTGCCTCCCAAAAGCAAAGAAAATCGAACTGAAGAAGTTGGAAGGAGAGCCCCGGTTTAGAGCCTTTAGGGGTCTTGTGGTGCCTCCCGAGGGCCCTGTGCTTCAAAATGGTCGAGCCTACTTTGGCAAAACCGGGAGTACGCCAATCTGGGGGTTCAGGGTACTCTTTTGGGGGTTTAGTGGAAAACGACACCATCCATGTGTCTTTGTGGGGGGGAGGTCCTCCACTTTGAGACACACACACACACCCACCTTGGCTTTGCGGATTCTCTGCCTGTCGGACTCAATCGGATTCAATGTCACCTTAATTCATCGCCTTTTGGTGGGCTGTGCCCAGACCTAGCAATCAACGGCTGTCCACTTCCATGGAAGTTGAGGTTTGGGGTTGTTTGGACGAAATTTTCCTTTGGAGACTTTTTTTTTGAGTTCCATGTTAGTGGGTTCCGGATGGACCACATGGTCAACAGGTCAGTCTGCAAGGGATTGTCCATGGGGAAGAGCCTCATTTCAGCTTACACCAATTCGTGGTTTGAATTGGTGCTTTGGAGGATAGGGGGCGGGGGTTCCCATTTTCAGCCGTTCAAATCCCCAAACCACCAACGCCAACCACAAATTCGGGGGTGCCCGATCACTAAGGCCGGCGCTGTATTGACACGGCTGCTTCGAGTTGAATGCGTGGAGACTTTGTAGGAAATCCAGCAAAAATGTCCTCAGAGCCAACTGGGTGTGCTTTTTAAGGATAAACATGTTTAGCTTCCTTTTGGTTTTCCTGTTTGAAAAAAGAACTAACAAGAAACACCATTAGACAAAACACACCCACTCTGTTCAGGGATCGTTCAGAAAGCAAGAGCCCTGCAAGGCTATGGGAACAATGGGTGGGGAAAATGGGGGAATCAAGGAACAATGGGCAGACCATTGCCGGGAGCCACGGTCAACAGTTCCTCCATGTCCCTCCCACATGAACTTTGCGGATGTTTTGAACAAACCTCTCAAATCGACTTGGAGCCCGTTGTAAAACATAGGCAGACAATGACCATTTACCCACTTGACGTTGGGAATCCCAATGTAAGACAGCTTCCTGGGTTCCCAGCCCCCTTTGCAAGGCGTCTATACTTTGCCCATAATTCCATGTGCATCACTTTTAGTCGCAGGTGAAATGTCAAGTCTGTGCAACTTCCGGAAGGAGACCCGGGTGGGTTCAATCTTGGTGAGTATAACTAGCCCTTTCCCCAACAGCCACTGTCACCCCGGACACACTTGCATTCGGCCTTTCTTGAATTCGGCCAAAACCGGAGCAGTAAGCACGCCTTGAATTCGGCAAGTCCTGTCGCCATTTCACCAGTTCCCCTTTTGACTCAAGTTGGCTGTCTCACGCCAACTTGGTCATTCGACCCTCAACCGATTCGAATCTTTACATGCGCCACCTTTTCGCATTCATTGCTTTTTCTTCTGAAGCTATCTGAGTACGAAAGCTTCTAAACTTCCTTACCCTCCCACTGAACATGGAACCTGACGTTCGGGTCCTTTGGCCATTGGCCCATTTTCCTTCTAAAGGCACCGGGTTTTAAAAATCAGCTCGAAGGGTCGGATCCGACAAGCCGGTGAAGGTCCCCCGCTGCCACGTAGCTCCGCCTGACACGAAGCTTTCCGAGAAAACCTCAACTGGATCGATATCGACTTGGGACGCGAACGCATCCAGAAATCGCACCACCCGTTCAGAAACCCAACGGAATGATTCGATTCCCCTGTAAATACCAGCAAATAGTTTTTGCAGATGGTTTCAAAGTGCTGCGACTTCTGGAGTTCGCAACCATCCACAGTATCAACCACAATACACCGCCGCTCCGATGCGCACGATTTGGGGTTTGTGAGACTCCATGTTGGTTTTTTGTTGCCAAATGGATCTTTTCGCCCCCCCCCCCCCCCCGGAACTATCTACAAGGACAAATATTGGAAAACCAACATCTCAGGGCCAAGTTGCATGGGCATATTCCAAGAAGAGTGGCTATACATGGGCTATACAGGGTACATACCGCAAGAAAGCTAAGTCACGTCCTGGCCTACCTTCTATGTGTTCAGCCATGCACTGCGGAATGGAAGTGGCGACAAGTACGATCTAAGCTTACTCTAAACCCAACCCAAACCAACCCAAAATCCACCCCAGCACCCCAGCCCACATGAACCCACCCTCAACCAAATCTAAAACATGTTGACAACAAAACTGCTAATCTTCAAGCTCACGATCTGTTTTTCCCCCAACAGCTGAGAGCGTTGGGTTCTCAGCCCAGATAGGCTCCGGGGTAAGGTTCCGCAGGGTTCCGCAAGGTTTCGCAAGGTTCGCGGCGGCTCTGAAGTAAGGTTCAGCAAGGTTCAGCAGGGTTCCGCGAACGTTCTGCAGGGTTCTGCGAGGGCGCCAGAAAAAGGCTCTCAGGTAAGGTTCCACGCGAGGGTTCTGTAGGGTTCATCAACGGTTCCGCAGAGTTCTGCGAGGGCTCTGGGGTGGTCTGGGGCCTCTCTGAGGTAAGGTTTCACAGGGTTCGGTGCGGGTCGAAAAGGAGCGCCGCGCGATGTCGGGGATATCAGTTGAGCTTATGTTCTTTGTTTTTCTTTGGGGGGGGAATGTAACCAATGTAACATACTACTCCCAGCACCCTCCGACTACCGTCTAAATTTTTATTCTCGGAACTACCGGGTATTTGGCAGTACTTCCGACAGTAAAATAAAGGACAGTAGATCCCCTATTTACGGTCGTTTCACGTTGTCGCAAACAGTAAAAGACAAGCCCACGGGGTGACACGGTGACACGGGGTGACACGCAGGCGACACGGGGTGACACGCAGGCGACACAGGGTGACACTGGGTGACACGCAGGTGACACGGGGCGACACCGGGGCTACACGGGGGCGACACAGGGTGACACGCAGGTGACACGGGGCGACACGGGGTGACACGCTAAAACTACTGTCGCAGCGATCTACTGTTCTAGCATACTGACACGGGGGCGACACGGGGTGACACGCAGGTGACACGGGGTGACGTGGGGGCGACTCGGGGGCGACACGGGGTGACACGCAGGTGACACGGCGTGACACGCTGTGAGGCGCTTGCTGCACTTGCTGCCGCCCCTTGATTGCTACCACCCCTGCTATGGCATTTCCCCGTTGTAAGCAGTAGCTAGCAGTAGTTAGACTATGGGCATCTCGCAAATAACATAATTGACAGTAGTGTTTCTAACTACGGTCGTTGTTTGGAAATTTCTTTCTACTGCCCCCTGGGCAGTAGTCGGAGGGTGCTTGTCCGGTTTCCCCCCTGAAGGAAACGCCTTAGAGTATGGGGGCGGAGAGAAAAACCTTTGCAGTGGATGCCAGCTATCCTAAGCAGGTAACTATCTCTTGCTTTTTAAAGGGGTTGGTTTGTGTTTATTTAGGTAAGTGGAATCACTGGGTTAGACAAGGAAAGGAGTCCCTGAGTCGCGACTGGGTCCTTTGAAGAACATTGCCGGCTCTTCGAGCTGTACCCTCATTTGTTCAAAATACTCCTTCCTGAATAGGAACCTTCACATTCGTCCAAAACCCTTTACTCAGAGTTGATGATCCTTACCAATCCCAAGTATGGATGCGATCTTTGGACAATTATGAAGCTGACAAACCCTCTGAGCCTGTGTGACCAGCGTAAGCCTAGTGTACTTTGTTGCATTTGGGGGCAACTACTTGCTGGTTCTCAGCAGGGAATGACCCCTTTGAGCCATCCCCTATGGATTCCTGTAAGGGAATCCCCAGATTTATTCCCAAACTCTGGGTCATTCCCTACTAAGCACCAGCAGAACTATACATGTGCAAATTAACGAGCACGGGTGAAGTCAGCATGAGCTTCGGCTTCAAGTTAGGCGCATTTTGCACAAGCAATTGGTACTTTCAACTTTCAACAAAAACACGGAGAAACAGCACGAACCAACAACAGTGCCCATGCATGCAAGAACCCTCCACCACACCCTTCGAGCATAGCCAAATCCTCTCACCACAGTTGGGCTTCAGGACCAATGGCACACGGAATAACGCTTTGAGCGACAACGGAGGCATAGGGACCGGAATTCTCTTTCTGTCAGGGCGACAACAACGCTGATGTGAATTTGACACTTCATGGCGAATCTCCAGACATACTGCGGAAGGAAGAAATCCTGCACCGCCTAAGAAACCCTGCAATGATGATTCCCCTGTAAACATTAACAAACAGTGGATTCCCATGGTTTCAAAGTGGTGCAGGATTTTGTCCATCCACAGTAGGTGTCCTTTTTGGCAAATAGATTACATCTGGTAGATGATTGAACCACCAGCTAAACCAGGGCCCTCGATTTGTTCAACCAGACCAACCAAAAAGGACACCTATGTCTCCAGCTGCAAGCTATGAAATGACTCCTTGACAAAGGCCCACTGGGCAGTGCCGGCATTGACATAGGTGGCCTTTTGGAAAATTAGATGGCCCTGGTATATAGACCCAAACCCATGTAAACCAGTGGAACTCATCTATCTTTCACCAGGCTCACCTAAAAAGGACACCTATGGGCATTGAGTCTCCTGCCTGTGCCGGCGTTGTGGAAGATGCACCAGTCCTCGTCGTCGCCAATGACTTTGCCTCATGCCCCCGAAGATCGAAAGCCACCCTCCAGACACCCCAGACCGTGCAGGCCTCATGGCCCGTCTTCCTTGCCACTGCCACAGGTCCAACAATTAGACATGGGCTTCCCATAGCGGATTCAAAGGTTACCAGGGTTGGGTTGAGGGAACAACTCTAGGATCTTAAGTGCTTAACCAAGGAAACAAACATTAACCCCTGAGCGCATCTTTCTAGACTAACCCAAAGCTTTGCGTTGCCAACTTGCTTTGTGTCAAGTTGCATTGCAAGAACTCGTCAATGTAGCCAGCAATCGAGTCACCGTCGCTCATCCCGCCTGTCAGGAAGGGATCATCCACATTGCCAGAAACTCAACAGAGACGGATCCCCATGGCGGAAGAGACGAATCGTGTGCGAGCATGTAGTGCTCATCCAAACCAACCAACAAGCTCGTGGGGTCTCCGTGAACCCCACAAGGCAGGAAATGCTACGAACCAATACATCTAGCGCCTCTCGGAACGGATCCTTCAAGGATCTTTCATTCCTGACGCCAGCCAGTCAGGAAGCCCTCGTCCGTTTCCCGGATCCCACCTGGAACAAGAATCCACAAGCGGCTCGCCATCTTGCGCTCTTCAGGCCACCAAATGGCATACTCCTCTACAAGTCGGCGACACAGAAAATTCAGCTTCCCATGAATTGGTGGTTTGGATTGGTGGTGAGTTTCCCATTTACCCTCCACAAAAGCCAGGGGTTCGAATCCCCAAACTAATCCAAACCCACCAACTAGGGGTTACCTGAACAACATGCTCCTTCCGTCAATTGGCACACAAAAAAATTAGTCCCGCGCTCAGGGAACAGCAGGGAAGCGCACAGTCATGACCATAACTGACGCCACTCACAAGGATATCGTCAGAGATCATTGAACCGCTTGAATCTTTTTCGCATGGCTTACGTCTCATTTGAATCACCTGTTATTCGCCGAGCTAGACATGAGATCGCCAGGATGCTGAAAAGACGCGCTGGTCTGCCCCCCCAACGAGCAAAGCACAGTTCTCCTTTCGCAGGCCCAATGCGCCTGAATCTCTGTTGTCAAAGCCCATCCAACTTCCCATGTGGCTTGAATAGCTTGCCGGTTCTCAGTATGGAAGTGCCTGGCGTTTTGGGAACGAACCGGACAGGGGTCCCTTAAAGGAAACCAGCAGTTGGCTGGTTTACAGGGGTCAATCCAACTCATTCCCTGCCTATCAAACCGGCAAGATAGGAAACGCGCAGCTTGCCCACAGAGACTACGCACTGGATGGATTGGGATGGAGAGGGCTATTTGAACTGCGACTCGCCGAAGTAGCACCAATGCCTGGGCCTGTGAACACACTGCGTCCGGCATGCGAGAGTCCTCATGCTTCTTGCAGTGCTCGCGGATCTCAACTCGGTACCTCGCGGAACCGCAGGGGCGGTGATCGATCTGCAAAAGGAAATGAAGGGGACATGCAGAGAGAAACGAAGGCTTACCCCTTAAAACTCCAAGCCCTGGGGAAGTTAATCTTTTACAGACATATAGCCCATGTTACCCCCAAAAAGTTGAACAGTTGTGTTTTTAAGAGGGAAGAAGAGGAAATGAAGAGAGAAATGAAGGGGACATGAAGAGGCAATGAACAGGAATGAAGGGGAAACGAATCGGAAAGTTCCTACATCTCAACCCACCATTCCAACTGCGAATGCCTGGGTGAACTTGACGTAGTAGGCAATCAACTCTTACGTTCTTCAAATTTGGAACTCTCGAGCGCAACTGCCGGCTAGGAAACATCCCCACTTCCACCTTTTCTGTGCCAAAGAGCCAAAGCCATGAGGCAATGATCCAACACCCCCACCTCCGCGAACCCTCACTCCTCCCCTCTTTTTCCTCATTGGAGAAAGCCTGCAGATGGCGAGTTCAGTTCTTCTTGGCGAGTTCCAATGCCCCTTTACTTGCGACCAAGGGGATTGTGCCATCTACTTTCATCTTGGTGCACAACTTGTGGACGAAATCCGTTTGGGATTGGTGACTTATCAACCAGTGTTCAAACCGGCTTTCATTCATCCCAACTAGTGCATTTTGTGGATTACGTCCATCCACATTCCGGGGTGCGTCTTTTTCGAGGCGCGGTGCCCTTTTTTGTGCCTTTACAGGAACACTAAGAGGACTACCAAGATCCATTTTGATTGAGGGTCCAAATCCTAAGAGACACATCCACCCTTTTCCCCTGTTGATTTTTTACATGGTCATCCCAAAAAAGACAACATGGCTCCCTGTTCCCACCAGGGTTGACCCTGAGGCCTAAAGATAGACAAATCCAAAAACACACCAGTTCGGATGGATGAAACAGGACAAATTCCACCAATCCTAGGCTGTGCGGTCGGAATCCGTCCATCCACAGTTTCAGTTGCCTAGCTTGCACCCAGAAATCAAAGGCGATCAGCTGTTGTCACTAAAAATGGAAACCAACCAAGGGAAACTAACCAAGGTTAGTCTTTTGGAGTCATGGTCTTTGTTGGGACTATCCCTTAATAATTTTCAAAACTACCCCAAATCCGTTGTCAGCACGTGGCTCCCACCCCAATTCTTTTTGCCTCCGCCCCCCCGCCCGACGGCTCGCTCCGCCTCTGGCGCCGGCCCAGGAGTCGCCAGAGGTTCACCCGCGTGGAGCCGCAGAGCAGTGCCGCCACGGAGCGGTGCCACCAGAAGTGGCGCCTCAGCCGTGCCCAGCGAGCCGTGCGAGTCGAGCTGAGCGAGCCGAGCGAGCCGTCGGATCCGGAAAACCCAGAAAACGATGCGTCCAAATGGACACCACTTAGGTACACAGATTTGACGCGTGTTTCGATTTTTGTGTTTTTCAGGTTCTGTTGCATTCTGAAGGGACTCCACCAAACAAATGTGTTTAGATGATGTTTCATATTCAGGCTCTAAGGGACTCCAACATAATATGCTGAGATTCTGTTTCATTCTCCAACGGGGTCTAGAAGTAGGGGTCCAGAATTGGCGCTTTTGGGACAGTGTTTTGTTTTGCTCTTTCGTTGTTTTGTTAAACGTTGCTCGAATTTGTTTCAATGTAGCGTTGTTTTGGCGTCACTTTGGCGTTTATTGCCAGTTTTGTGATCTGATCTGGACTAAATTGATTGACAGACTTTTTGCAAGCTGAGCGTGTTGATTTGCGAGCCTTGGCGCGTGTCTGAAATTTCTCACTGATCGACTGAGTCAACGTTGGTGGGGTTGGTCATGATGCTGAGCTGGCAGAACAGTACCATCCCCCTACCTTAAGGGGAAGGGGGGTGGGGGGTCCCCCAATTCCATTTATCTAGTCTTCCCCGTAAAATGGAAAATGGAACCACAAATGAAATTCCAGGGGTCCCCTCCCTCCTCCAAATCCATTTTTCAGGGGGTGGGGATGGCACCCCCCTTTTAAGGGGTTGGTTTAAACGGACAACAAGAGGAAACCAAGCTTTCGGGATGCTGCGGAACTTAGGGGTCCTGCTTCCGGCTAACATTCGCATGGGTTGGCTCCTAAGCCGTCCGACTTTCGGGGAGCCGATCCGATGGGAACCAATGCGGTTTGCTCCGTTTTCTCTCGCGATAAAATGGAGTGTCAACTTGTGGAACTCCCCGCTTGAAGCAACGTTGAAACACAAATTCCAGGGGCATCTTCGGATAGGGAAATCATGCGAGGTTGCTGACATGTGAGTCTCTGCCCACACATCGCCTATGCAATGCGCGGCCATCAGCTGCGAACAGAAAGACTTCCGCAAATCAGGCAACCCTTAGTTGGGTGAATGGGAACCCCCCTTAACCACCAAACCACCAATCCAAACAACCAATTGGAGGTAAGCTGAGGAAACACACACACATAAAACTAGACTCCATGGTGATGGACAATGGCTTCTTTCAGCAAGAGGACATCCCAGTTTTTTTGCTTTCGTTGCTGTAAAGTGCGCAACTTAGATGTAGCCCACGTCTTTCCGAAATGAGTGGTAGACAGTTAGTGACATTGTCAGTTGCTCGATATTGGAGACTTCTCCTTCTGTGGAGTAGGTTCGGCCTGACACTCCAAGCACAGAAACTGGAAGGGCTGATCAGATCCGGATGCTATTGCCCAAGGCCGCCTCCACTCTAGAATCCTGTCTGGCAAAAAAACCCTTTCCTGGAAGACCCGATGTGTGCGTACATTCCCACCAAGAATCAAAGTGTGGCAGAGAAGAATCGCAACCCATGCAAAAGATTATTTTTAAGACATTCCCACGTGTCACCCAAGTATGGGGCTCAAACACGACGGAGAAAGCAAGAGAGAACAGCAGAATGTAAGGAAACAACCTCGGGAGAGATCTGGTCAGGATCTCACCTGAGTGGATTGGCCAAAATTGGCCAAACAAAAGGCAACTACCCTTCCTCCCACTAACATGGCACCTGTGGGAGGGTACCTGGAAGATCAGTTTCCTCTTGGAGGGACTCCCGGTGCCATGTTAGTGGGAGGGAGGGTAATCTTTTTGTCTACCACTAAAATGGTCCAAGCAAAAAGTTACTAAAGTCCAGAAACTCAGGAAGTGAGTGACAGACCTCATCCCAAAATCCGCAAGGCAGGCGCGGCACACCAAAGATCGAAGCCACTTGCAGAAGCCTGGGAATGACTTTCCGAGTCCAGGTGTTTGGATTTGGGGATTCCCGAAATCCCGAGCAAAGGAAACCACCGCGGATTGTCTATAGGGGTCATTCCCTCATTCCCTTCTGAGAACCAGCAAGGCTTCTTGAAACCAGGTCACGCATATCGTGCAACTGTTCGGGGGAAATTTCTGCGCTTCATCCAACGATCCAAGTTCCACGGCACCTTTCCCAACGCTTTGCACACCTCCAATTCGGACGATAGCAACACTTGCCCCTTAAAACTCCAAGCCTTGGGGAAGCTAATCTTTTACAGACATATAGCCCATGTTACCCAAAAAGTTGTATTTTTAAGAGGTAAGAACAACGTGAAGGTGTACCAATTCTTCCAAGGATTTTTCCATCTGCTCACGTTGGGCTGCGTAGGGACGATCACTGTCAGCACTCCAAAGTCGATCAACAGAGCAGTGGTCACCTTGGCAACTTGGTCATGGTTCTCTCGCAGAATGGGAATCAACGTTCTGCCACGGCCACGCTTGGGGCGAAAAAAACATATGGAGCAAAGTTGATCCCCCTCACAAGAACAGCTCCATGATATTCAGTTTCCAATGCAAAGTTCGCCACGGAAGTGAAGGCCATCCTTGGCTCAGGGGACGAGACTGGGAATTGGCCATGTGTGTGTGTGTGTGTGCGTTTCTGCATATGTTTTTCGCAGAGTGAGTTCACCATTCATGACTGGGGGGAAGGGAGGGAGGGAGGGAGAGAGGAAGAAGAGAGAGAGAGAGAGAGAAAGCGAGAGATAGAGAGAGAGAGAGAGAGAGAGAGAGAGAGAGAGAGAGAGAGAGAGAGAGAGAGAGAGGGAGAGAGGGAGGAAAAGAGGGAGGGAGGGAGGGGGAGGGAGGGAGGGAGGAGGCAGGGGTGTGTGTTCCTGTTACTCGCTTCTTGTGTGGATGGGCCAAACAAAGCCGAAACTTGTTTCTTACCACTAAAATGGTCTTTCCAAAAAGCTTAAAGTCCATGAACTCAGTGAACTCGGGAAGTGAGGTTCTGGACACCGCCGGATTTGACGCAAAGTCGAAGGCGCAAAAGCTTGCTTACGAGCCGCAAGCGGCCAGCAGCAACCAAAGTAGACCTTTCCGGCGTGTGAAGGATCGCAGTGCACGGACCCAATCTGCCTTGTCGCGGGTCGCTTTGGAGCCCCCTCTCAGGACGCATTAACGTTGAAATTGGGCCCGTTTTCAGATCCCCGCTAGAAGTGACTCACTTGTAGTGGGTTAAATGGAAATCCCCACTAAAGACTTAAAGGATCTAAAAAGCTAAGGGAATGGCTGGGAGCCACCAAGTAAACAAGCAAGGGGTTGATGAAAAGGTCCGTGATACATGGGATGACCATGGGGAAAACCACAAAAAAAAAGAGGATATGTCTCGCTGAACGGGAAAAGTTACCCATGGCTATTTGGGGGCCAGAATTCTAGTTAACCAAGGTGTGGAACACGGCAAAACACAAGGACTCTACAAATCGGCTGTTTGCGGATTCCACCTGTTCTTCCCCCCCGTAGGCTCTTTTTAGTACTCTTTTAGTACTCTTGTAATATCTTACCTGGGTGGATCCCCAAATCCAAACCGTTTTCTGGAAGGACATCTCGAATTTCTGCGTCTCAAGGTAGACTTGCATAAACACGCACCAGGACACTCACTTGCTAGGTAACGGCAACGGTCATCTATCATGGATTCCATTGACCAGAACGGTCCGAGCATATGCCAAAAGAGCAGTGGGATGAAAGCATGGCCTGTATCATCCAGAAACAGCAACGCAGCACCAAGGGTCCATCTGTTCCATTTGCTTAAGCCCCCCGGATAAAACAGCAACACAATATGTCCAGTGTGATAGATTCCCTTTAAAGCCAACAGGGGAAATCATACATATTCTTCAGCAAACGGAAGATCTGTACCTGAAGTCTCCTGGGCCATCCATGCACGCAACAGACCCCCGTTGCTGCAGGAGGCATGCCTTAGGTGACCATTTGGCCATTTGTGAAAGTCAGCATGGCTTCAAGAGCCCAAACCATTCAAAGTTGACCCCGGATGGATGTTGACCCCCGTTTTTTTGAATCGGGGTCCCTTGCTTTAGTGGGGATGTATTACTTGAGGGGAGCCCCCCATTACGAACAAATACGGGTTTTTGAATCCGGGGTCCACATGAATTGTTCGAGGTGAATCGTTTCGAGGCCAGTGGATTGAAAGTTCAAAGAGAAACCGAAGACAGGCCTTAATGGGAGGTCCCTATTTCACGACACATTGATCCCTGGCACATAGGGTGGCATTATTTGTTCTGCCCATTCGCTGTGCCGATGTTTGGTTTTGACGCAAAGTGCTACAAAGGCAGGCAACAGGGGGGCCAGTTGGGGGTCCAGGAAGTTTAGATGTTTGTTTACCAATCTGCTCTTGGCGAATCCCAGCCGTCCGGATAATTTCTAGGTTTTTGGGCTTAGTGGCTGGGTGTCCATTTCTTAGAGATTTAGCCCACCAGTTATCATCTTTTAGCAGACAAACCGAGAAAGACGGATTTTTCCACCAACGTTCTGGTTCCCAAGCCTTCGAGCAACCAGAGTATTTTTTTGCGCGGTCCCAAGCTCGACTAGCGCTCAATTTCCCCCAGCTGAATGACTAGAGCTCCGGAACATCCAATTGATTGCCCGTCTTTTCGGTTGGTTGCCTTTGGCAATTTGGTTGGACAATTCGAACATACTCTGGATGGACTAAATCCTGCACCGCGAAGTGACATCATGGCTGCAACGAATGTTTGTCGGTACTTATGTCGGGGGAATCGAATTATTCTGAACGGTGGTGCGATTTCTGGACTTCGCAACCCTCCACAGTACTACTGTGGATGGACGAAATCCTGCACCACTTAAGAAACCCTGGAATGATTGGATACCCCTGTAATTTCCAACGAACAATGGTTGCAACCAAGGTTTCAAAGTGGTGCAACTTCATGAGTTTGCAACCATCCACAGTATGGGCCATTTAGCACCGTTTGGACTTCAGAGTAATTGGGTAGGGTGTCTCTCTTTTTTTGAAGCTAGCCTGTTTGGGGTGCGTTTGCAAGCGAAAGAAACCGAAGGGAAAACAGGCCTTGATGGGAGGTCCTCACTTCCGAGTGCGTCTTCTTTTCGGTTCGAGGCACGCCATACAGCTGGAGGGAAGCAACCGCCATGAGGCTGGCGGTTGCGCACAGACTGTCGACTAGGCCTTTCCAAATGACTTTTGTCTGGGGAGCTATTCCTCTCTTCCTGGATGGGCCAAAAAAGTAACCACACTTCCCACAAAGTTTAAACTCCCGGAACTCAGGGAGTGAGATTCTAAATGGCGAGCTGTCGGGAAGGTGCTTGTTCATTGTTTTTGTGGCTCACCGGTTGCGTTTTTTCTTCTTTTTTTGGTGGGGGTGGGGGGCTTGTGTTTTGGGGGCTGTTTCAATTGACAAGCAAGTGACGCTCATTGCTCCGACTGCCCATTTGGCCAGTCACGCGACCTCGACTTAGCCCATCTGCCTCGAGCCAAATGACCGATTTCCAGGTTGCCAGTAGCAACGCATATGCAAATCAAGTGAAATGCGGCTTTGGCTCCAAGCTGGGAAATCCGAACTCATGCTAGCCTTAACCAGCTTCCGCCTGAAGCCAACAGAAGTATCACTGTCTTAATAACTATAAGACTTTTCATACAAGATCATGGGGTTGCTTGGGGGTTCAGGGGGCCGGAATGAGTTTTGGTCAAGAGTATCAACTGTCTTAACTACAAGACTTCTAGCACAAGAACCTCATCAAGGGGGTTGGGGGCTTGAGGCCCAAGAGTCTGCCAGTTTTGGGGGAAGCCAAGTATGGAGCGCGCAAATCTTGACGGTCCGATTCTAAACCCATAGGGTTCTGTGCATGGAACCCTGTTTGAGGGTCCCTCGGCAACCACTTTGAGTTGGAGGTTCGGTACCTTCCCATTTCGTGCAACACTGGTTCAAGTGTGCTCCCTATTTCTTCACATGCAGGTGAGCAGGGTTCCCCTACAACATGCAATGTCATGTGAAACTCACTTGCCGGGCTGGAAATACAAGGTGATCACCTTTCGGACCCTTGACTAACAATTCCCCCAAGAGGGGGACAAAGGTCAAAAGGTCAATTCGCTTTGGACAAGTGAGAAAAGCTCGATCCTGCTTCTTCGCCCATCAGACACCTGGCGAGACGCGCTTTTTTCCATCAGAAACATGGGGAGATCCCGAGCTTGCTGAGGCTCGCGAGAAGGTCGGCGGGCATTGAGGCCTAGCCAAGTCGCCGAAACAAATGGATGGAACAAGGATGTCCTTTGGATGAACCCCGAACCTTTAGGGCCATGTAGGGGAAGCCGAATTGAGGGGTGTTAAAGGAAACCAAATGATAAACATACCCATGCGTTTTTTACATGAGAACACTCCTGATGTTTTTCCATGCTCTGTTCCCAAGGTGCCTTGGGAAGGTACGGCCCCTGTCAGGGTCGTTGAGACCTGTTGACCAGTTTATTGCGCTTTCGGGCCTTGACAGCCATAGGCATGTTTCAGGCTTTAAGAGAAGGCATAGGTGTTTTGTTGTTGAGCATATGGAGGGGGGAACGGCTTTCTCCGGACGAGTTTTGTTTGGCATTGAAACGGACCACTGAAACGACAAACTAGTTTGGAGATCTCCCAGTGTGGGACAAATTTGGCCGCGACTGTTGGGACCTCATTCGCGGTGATTTATTGCGGGTATTTCTCGCCAACACCCATGGCCTAGTGTTATATTTGGGGCCATGTTGTTCCTTTTGCAGTAGATGACAGTAAATATCGACCGTTGCTCTAATGTGAATTGGTGTTCTTGAATGCGGTTGATGGGAAACAAAGTTGTTGGGTGGTGGTCAGTAGCAAGATCTCATGAACGACAATCGCCCAAAACTGGGTTTAAGTCTTAAAAAGAGGTGTTTAGAAAAAAATCAAGTCTCTCTCCCCAGGTTGGTTTCCTTTTGGGTAAGTCAAACACACATGGGCTATTCTCACAAACATTTCCAGGTATGGGAAATGCCTCTCGGATGCCCAGAGGAATTCCAAGGGAACAAAAAACCATCCTTTTTTGGTCCGCAAAAAGTTGTTGAAAACCACTGGGCGAATCCACCGGGCTGCCTGGGGCATTGCCTCGTGCAGCGCGCGCCTCCAGCTGCAGTTGCCGACTTTGTCGCGGGTGCGGCGCTCGCAGGCGCCAGGCGTGCAAGGCCTCGGAGCAAGCTTTAAGAAACTCATCGGAGCTCCGGTCGGACTGCCCAGTGCTTCCGGGTTAGCGCTATAGGTAGCCAGGGTCGTTTTCCTCCAACCACTATTTTAGGTGTTTTGTTGCTTAATATTAAAAGCAAATCAAAAACGGAACAACTGCCAAGCCAATCTAGCTTTTGAATGATGGTTTCCTCTTGTTGCTTGCTCTACTGGTACCTGGCAGCACTGGGCTGGGCCGACCGACTGATCCGAGCCGCAAAAAAAGTTGTGAGCTGTTGCTGTCAACAAAAAATGATGGAACACCACAAAGGCAAATAGCCCAAAAGGCAAGCCAAGTGTGGCGATGTATAGCAGGTAACCAGGGGAAGCCATGTTTTTCACCTAGAGTTCAAATTACCGACGTGAAAGCACTGGGTTAGCCTAAATTGGTGGTTTGGATTTGTGGTTTGGGGATTGGAACCCTTGTCTTTGATGGACCCAGCAAGGCCACGCATCGCTTCCAGAGAAGAAACGCTTTACAAGCTGAGTGGACAATTCCCGGTATGCACCACGGCAACTAGGAGTGCCAGGTAAACGCTTGCAAATTGACATGGAACCACAAAAGGGGGTCCTTCGAAAAACGCTCGTCTCAAATGGTCCTTGATTTCCCAAGACGGGTCCATCAAAGTGCCGGAAATCAACACTCACCCTTCAAATCTGAGTGAAGCAAGTAGTTTCAAGCCAATCCGAACCGTTAGACCTCCAAGAATAAGGTCCTTGTTTGACCAGACTCAACCCCGCGAGGTATACCTTTTGCTTGAAAGGAACCTGCCAGATTCCTCGCACAGCTTCGATCCAGGAGCCGCACAACTCTGCTGGGCGCCTTGGGGCAATGCAGCAGGTTGTGGAGGCAGATGTCCCATTTGGGTGGCTCGTCTTTGGTGAGGCTACCCTGGGAAACCAACAGGAAATCCAGTAATTATTTTGTTGGGGCCCCTAAAAAAAGGCACGCACACACACAGACATTTTGCTTTCAAGGCGGCAAACTTCCAAACCGTTCTGACAACTTGACCTCAAAGCTCAGAAATTGGGAGTCAAACTGCGAGCGTAAGCGACTCCGCGCGTTGGTGAAACTAACCCAGTTCCAAGCGTTGTCTCGTCATGTTCCTTTCCAGAAACGCTTGTGATTGATGCTCCTTTTGAAGAGACAAGGCAGTTGTCAAGGTCACAAAAGCTTTGGGACGAGCGTTTCTATCCCTCCAACTTCTCCCTTTGAGACCACCCGGCGACCATTTCGCCAAGGAACCTCAATAAAGTTACCCTAAGTGCGGGGTCCCAAGTCAATCACCCCCTCCGAACTTGGGTCAACTACCACCATTCACCAAGACCCAGAACTAATTACTTGATCATCCAAGTAATCTTATTCATGCCACCCAAAAACGAGGTCACGATTTGGCGATGGGTCAAAAATATACCACTAGGATATGGACCGCGGGTTTTAGTCCTTGTTTCCATTTACCAGGGCAAAACATTTAGGGGTTGCCCTATTTTTGACCCACAGCCATTTTAGGTTTGAGATTAATTGAACCTCTCGGATTCCTTTCCGAACTAATCCCTCGCAATGACGCTCTCTTCGGCCCTTGGGCCTTTAAGGCCTTTCGGGTATTCCAGGCATGTCATGGGCTTATCAGCTTGTCATGTCTATGTACGTAAATATATATATATATATATATAAATACTATCTATGATAGATGTGTATGCATGCATGTATCCATCTATATATATAATAGTATATATATATTGTGTATGTAGTATATCTAATATACATACAGGGATAGCACCCTCCACCAAGGAGACCGCCGAATGGGCCCAAACTCTTGCCCAGGCACTGCAAAGTGGGACGCCACTCGGCTTCCACCGTACCTAAGCCGCGGCTCACGGCGAGCCACTGATTTGGACTGGGTGTTTTTCCCCTTTAGCCTGCGGATGGCGTCCCATCCATTTCGCGTCACTTGGAAACGATTGAAGCCATGGTCTGTATTTCCAAAAGCATCAGCATCCGGTTGCTCGGTGGTGCAACCATCCAGAGATTCACCTGGGTGACTTTGATAAAAGCCTGGAGCCGGTTCAGTGGGCAATCAAAGGACCTGTGTAACCCAAAGGACTTGTGACACCTACTCCCCCCCCAGGCAAGCAGAACCGCCGATTACCATGTAATTCCTGGTCAGCTTCTGCTGGGGCGCTCTCGGAGCAATGAAATGGGAGCATCTGGATATGTGAAAATGGGGATGCGGACGCAAAAAGTGTGATGTTCCGTTTGTTTCCCTTTGAAGCAAGGTGAATTCGGGTACTGAGTTGGTTGACCCTTGTTGAGTGGGCTTGCCCCGACCACTTCTGAGAAAGGGCAGCACAAAACGACACCTGCGGGTTCCAAATGGGCCTTCATTTTCGGCAAACCCCATCCTGGAGATGAACTTGAACTGGGGGTGGTCATGATTTGCATGGTTTCTTCTGCCTCCAATTAAATGAGTATGTATTTTTGGTTGTTCGTGCTGTTCTGACGGTGCATTTGTTGTAAAGGGCAACCAAAAGGGATAACGTTCGCAGCCCAAGAGAAAGCTCATTGAGCGAGGCAACGCAAACTGTGTGATTGGTTGACCCGCTAAAGAGTACAGACTGTTAGTTGGATATGTTACAATTTCGCAACTCTAAACCTGCAAATCCCACTTGCCCAAGGATCTGGAAAACACGAAGCTTTGGGGCCCAGGAAGGACCACAAGGCAAGTTGACGGTGTCCTTTGTTTAAGGGAACCATTTCTGGGCTCGGTTTAAAGGGACGCCAAAAGCAAATCCGCCATTTGTCCGGTCCCCGGCCTATTTTGCCACAACTCCCGGCGTTAAAACTCTGATCTTTGCACCCCCAGCACTCATCGCTTGGATTCCGCGCATCTCGTCGCCGAGCAGCGGCATTCCCGCGTGCTGCGCATGCACTCGGATCTGCGGTCCACATGGAACGCTTTGAGCGTCTAGGGGCATGACATGGGCAGTTCTGGTGGCTTCAAGACCACCCCGTTGTTAGGCGCTCCAACTCCGTTCTCAAATGAACAGCATTAACTCCTTTCTACTCCAAGCATTAAATGGACCCTGAAAAGGCTCTTCTAGAGGTCCAGCACCTCCGATGGAGGTCCTTTCCCCCCCCCCCATGGAGGGTCCCATGATGCTTGGCGCGCTACATCAACCGGGCAGGTTTGTCCATGGACCATCTATGCTTGGTTGCCGCTAGAAATGAAGTGCCTGCCAGAGCCCTTCATTTTCAGAAAGCCAGCACCTGCCCACTCCACAGAGGAATTGGTCAAGACAAAGAAAGCTATGGCAGCACCGGTATCTTATCCGGCTGAAATGTTTACAAACTTACTGCCGGATGGGAACTGTAGCCAGTACCCTGCTTGACGATGTAGTGAGCTCCAACCCGAAAATCTTGACCAAACCTCATAACATTATGTTCAAAGGTGGGGGAAAACACAACCAAAACCAAACAAACACACCATACTGTGGATGGACGAAATCCTGAACCACCCAAGAAACCCTGGCACGATGATTCCCCTGTAAATACCAACAACCTATGGTTTTTCATGGTTTCAAGTGGTGCGAAATGGATTTCGTCCACACACACACAGTATCACCGCAACAGGTCCCCCCTCAAAGGGGGCCATTTGGCACTTGCAACCTGACCCAGCCGCGTTGTCCTTTTACTTTTTCAAAGGGATCAACCGCATTGCCTGGGCACCAGCCTTGTGTTTCACAAGGTGCCTGGTGCATGGCGTCCCTCACTTGCAGGCACTGGTTGGAGTGAGATGTTCCAGGCACGCCTCCTACCTCTAAGTGTTACATGGTGCGCCCCAAAACCTACCTGGGCTGTCCGTTTTCAGATCTGCCCAAAGTTCAACTTGTGGGCGAAATGGAAACCCAACCAAACCCGGGGCTCAAAACGCCTAAGGAACCGGATAGCTGACCGCCATACAGTGGTAGCTGGAATTGAGCTTGGCTGTGTGTCCGCATCGTGCAGAAAACACGTGACGTTTTATCATCCTCATCATCCAACCAGTTGGGACCCGAATCTTTGTCTTGGGCTCTTTGTCCCAAGTGGATAAAACTTCGTTCATTGCGCACAGAAATGGCATCAAGAGGAAAACATCCAGCGACCTGTGACCCGTCACTGCCCTTTTGGGCCCTTTTGCAAAGCCCCGCTTCTGCTTTGAGCCTTCTTGAGTTACAAGATAAGCCTTGAGGTGCTGGCCTCTGAGGATTCTTGCGGGCTGGATGAACGCCGCTGACACCATATTGATCGACCCCAGCTTATTAATACGAAATCCTGCACCACCTTGGAAGTATTGGAAACCATCGTTTGTTGGTATTTACCGGGGGAATCACCATTCCAAGATTTCTTAGGTGCTGCAGGATTTCGTCCATCCACAGTAAGGGGGCGGGGCCCCCTCCAAAAGTGGTCCGACTCTCCACCAAACCCAGGGACACAGGGACAGCCCGCGTTTTTTTCCAAACTGGGATGAATATGGGGTCAACATTACTGAGGCGGTTTCACCGGAAGCAACTTGAAGGCCGGTTGAGTGAAGCGAAGCAAAGCCAGAAACCTTGGTCCGAGACGAGTGGCTTAACCAGCTCGTGCCGAATTCTGCTGTACAGAATAGGATACATGCGTTCAAGATGCGCTTCTTCTTTTTTTTTCACGGCATCGTCTGAGACCTCGAACTCAAGAATTTCGTCCTCCTTAGTTGGCCGTGAAATGTCCGGCTTCTCATGGCTTCAAGCTTTGGAAGCTTACTTCGGGCAAAGGCAGAGGCCCAATTTGGAGGGCAAAAGCCGCAGCTTGGGCCCACAGAGGGGGAGGGGGGGGTAAGAGCGTGGATGGGTGTCAATTGCTGGCATGTCCCAGAACGTGCTTCACGAATTCCTGCGGCCTCAGCTCTAAAGGGGTATGCGTCAAACTTGGGTGATCCCCAAAAAGCCTGATTTTCCTTTTGGCAAGCGTTTTTGGGGGGACCTTGCATCCATGGGCTACGGTATTTTGGGGGTACATCCGAGTGTTTCCCCCAATTCTTCCTTGACCCTGAAATCCTTAGACCCGTTTTGCCCCGCAAAGAATTGATGGACGGCGATATCGGAGTTTCAGAACCCGGTCCCAAGTGCCCAAAATCCCGTGTCCAAAATGCTCTTAGTGTCCAAGCAGTGGTGGGTGGGGAGTAGGGGTCCGCCAAGCATAATGCTATGTATGTTTGGACACATATGGAACGGAAGCATGTAGTTGGGATAGTCTGAGGGGCTGAGGCTGAGGGTTTGAGGGTCTGAGGGTCTGAGGGTCTGAGGGTCTGAGGGTCTGAGGGTCTGAGAGTTCTTCCGAGGGGCTCGGGCCGCTTGCCGGAGCTGAGCGGGCTGCCAGGCATGCTGCTGGCCGGACTGATGCTGTCCTCCTCCTCCGGGCCTCCGAGTTGCGAGCCGCACGAGTCTCGCGCCAGCCCCGCTTCAGCCCGCGGGTCGGAGGGTGGCGCACTCCACGAAATGAAACCACGGTTGAAACCATATTGTTTGTTTGTAGTTGCACAGTAGGGAAGGGACTGGTGCCACTCGCTTCGTCTCCTGGCTAACTCACCTAACTGCTTCTTGGATGATTTCTTCCTTGGCAGTCAATTGCTTGGAGTCTCTGTGAGTGATGGAATCGAATCAGAACCTAGGGGTTCTTAGGTGGTGCGAACTGGATTTCGTCCATCCACAGTAGGCTAACGCCGCATTTTACCCTGGCCCAAATGACCAGCAAAATGAGATTCACCTCTTCGGCCCCTGACCAAAAATTGAACCAAAAAGGGAACCCGATAGGTCAATGAGAATTTGGAGGGGACCTTTGTGATTTGGCTTTGCCCCCACCGACACAGGCACTGTTTGAGGTCCAAAAAAGGGGGGGAACTTCCCCGCATCGTCCCAAGGTTTGATTGAACGATCAGAAATTGGGCGCACAACACCATTGACGCTTGTGTTTGTCCACGATGGTTAAGGCTGAGAACATCCTTTTGGCAAACATAAAAAAGAAGCTAGATTCTGAAACAACCCAGTCAACCAGGGCCATCCATTTTCTACCAAAGCAACCAAAAAGGACCCCTATGCCCGAGACGTATCCCTTAGCAATTCTGTCCCAGAAAGCGAAACCTCTCTCCACGGGCTGGCGCTGCTCTTTGCAAGGTTCCAGTGACATCCTCAAAATTGCCCCCAAGGGTGGCTTTCTGCTTGTAGATGCGTTGATCGCAAGAAGGTGAGAAAGTGGCAATTCTGGATGTGAATGATAGCTTTAAGGCTTTGCAGGGAGTTTCCTCCCTCCCCCCAACCCCAACCCCAACCGAACTGTTCACTTGAATCCAGATGTAAGTTGCTTCATGAAATCGGTGACCGCACTCGCCAGCTCAGTCCAAAGGGTCGGAACTTGAATAGGGATAGCGCCATCCATTGGTTTAGATGTGGGTCAGGCAGTGCTCGCCAAAGACTTGTTCATCGAAGAAGCCCTGCTCTTCGAACATCGGGGCTGCAGGTTCAGTGGCTAGGTCCTCCAGTAGAGAGGTTAGAACAAGGGCACCAACTTTATGTAGTCTATTTAGTAGGGGAACCCTCCCCCAAAAAAGGGGAGAGAAGGGCACGTCTGGGGGACCTAGGTGGTATCCCTGACTGCAACCTGCATAACCTGCGGAACCCGAAAACTCCCGGAGTCGCTACCTTCACCACTCCGGTTTTTCTTGGGGTCATTCCATTTCTCATTCCCTGCCTGTCAAACCAGAAAGAAAAGGGGGGGGAACAAAAAAAAAAAAACGAGCTCAGGTGATGTCCCCAACAGCATGTGGTGGCCCACCTCGTGGAACCCTCGTGGAACCCTGGTGGAACCCCTCGTGGAACCTTACCTCAGGGCCTCCCCGGACCACCCCGGAGCCTATCTGGGCTGAGACCCCAAAGCTTTCAGCTGTTGGGGAACAAAAACGAAAAATGTTTCCCAACAACGAAAGGATCCTTACATTATACACCTGAACATTGCCTTGCAAATGGTGGTTGGAAAAAAAAACACACTTCAAGGCCTGGCTCTTGAGCCTTTTGGGGCCTCCAGGGCCTCCCTTGGGCTCCGCGGAGGGAAAAAGGGAAGGCCTTCCCATTGGGGGGAGGGAAAAGGGGGGTCTGCCCAGGTCACTTTCCAGTATAGAGCAGAAGTCCAAGGAACCACGCCCAACACCAACTAGGAAGGCACCGCCTTTCGAGTTCCTTTTTTTTTGGGTGAGGGTAATTGCTGGCTGGATCGGGGAATGAGTGAATCCGACAGTCCTCAAGACTCCTTGCTTTCAACACTCACCCCACATTTACCCTCCAAATCTTGGCAAACTGATGGAACAGCAATCTGCCTGCATGGGGATGTGGAAAAAAACCAGGAGACCCTCAAACCAGACACCTGGCGCTCCTTTCGGCCTCTCCCCTTTCGCCGCCCCAAAAAACCGCCCGCGCGCGCAACCGCCGCCTCCGTCGCTGAAGTCCATGGAGCCCATGGAGGGCTTCGACAACCGCTCCTCGAACCGACTTGACGCGCGGTCGCTTCCGCCTCTCGCAGCCCAAGGGGCAGAGTCATAGTCCAAACCGATCGGTATGTCATGGGGGCTGGGGAGGGAGGGAGCGGAGGGAGCCCAAATAAGCCCTATATAAGGCCTTATTAAGGGCTTAATAAGGGCTTATTTGGGCTCCCTCCCCCCCCTCCTCCCTCCCCAGAACCATGCTTCAAGAATTGAAAAGGTATCCGCATTTATGGCAAGGGGATTGTCCCTTGCTGCGCTCTAACTACCCGGGTGTTGATTGCGACTCCACTGGAAAAATAGTAAAGGACCCTCAATGGACCGATTAGCTCTATTTTTCTCCTGCCTGCTGGAAATCCGAATGGACCAAGAACAGTTTTGTTCTGTGTGCCTACTGGAAATCCCAATGGACCAATTGTTCCATTACTTTTGCCTACTGGAAACTAAAGGACCTCCAATGACAATGGGCCAAAAAGTTGATCTCTTTTTCTGCATTCAAGAATATATGAACAGTTTTCTAACGAAGCCATTTACCGTGCTTGTGCAATCCTTTCCCTGGGGTCAACAACTATCCTTGCCTTGCCACTCCGCCAAGGCATCTGCAAAGATAGCCACAGGTGAGTCATACTGTCATCTAACCGCAGTCTTCCATATTCCATGCAAAGAATCAAGCGGCTTCTTGCATAGGAAACGGCCGCCCAATTCTAGCCTTCACTTGCTCGGGGTTTGACGGCTCAAAGCTTCTTTTAATTAGTGTACATCAAGGTTCACCGGATTCGCACCGTTGAACACATTTGCTTTCCATGAAACAAACAGAGGGACTTGGAGGTAACTTGCAAAGTGACTTTTGGAGCCCTGAAAGCCATTTCTGAACGAGTCTTGTTTTCAGCCCACTTCTCAAGTTGGAGACCATCTGCTCAAGTTAAGTACTGGGATTAAGTCATAGTGCAAAATCCTCCAATTGGGACCGCGTGGATACAAAAATCCTCCAGTTGGGACCGCGCCATGTGGATACTGGGAAACCACCAATCCTAGTGGGTGCGGATTTTGCTCAAGGAGCCCCTTGCGGGGGCGTCCTTGCGGCTCTCCCGGCTCGAAGCGAAGAAGGTCAGCGCCTGCGACGAAGCGTCCGGACAGGGGTCAGAACTTCCCCCCGCTTCTCGTGTGCCTCATCCCGGATGACAGTACATATTGACTTCGCATGTAGGTGTTTCAAAAAGCCTGCAACTGCAGGGTCTGAAAAGGTCACACGCACATCAAACAAACCCATGACCGAGCAAGCAAGCGAGCAAGTAAACCAGCGAGCAACCCAGCATATAGGTGCGCGAAACGGCCCGATTCCTCAACAAAACGCAGTAGAGCGGGAGGCCTCACATACATTGTTGTCGTCCAGCCCGCAGTTCAATTGGAGATCAAATGCAAACCAGCTGAAGTGCATTTTGACAGCAGTTGGGACGAAACAACAGAAATGTACTGTGACAGCAGGATAGCAGTTGCAAAGCACATGGACAAAAATGGAAAGCAATTGGGAAGCAAGTGAAAGACAGTTGGAACGTAACTCGACAGCAGCTGGGAAGCACGTGGACAGCAACACAAGAAAACTGTGTTGGTAAACAGTGGCTCAGCCCCAATATGAAGATCAGCAGATCCGTAACCGTGCCACATGATTCTTCCAGCTACTTTCTCGAGGCTTCAGCATGCCCGAGATTCCAAGTTGCCTTGCCGACATGACTGCATGCTCTCGGCCTGATCAACGTCGGTGATCTCAGAAGGAGCTGCTACCTGAACGCACAAAAGCAAGCTCGTGAGTCACAATCAATACCTGGTCTTGCAATGGTCTACCCAGAACCATGTAAATAATTTGTATGGCTGGGATTGCCGCAAGCCATCCGCCACTTGCCATGGTTTTGATTTCTGCTCAAGCGTGAGCCACGCGAGTTGTTCCCCCCCCCCAAAACGGGTCGCAATCAAAAGGTGGCGAAGGCGGCGTCGGGACTATCCCCCTCACAAACCTTCATCTACCCAGGTTGGATTGTGGTGCACATGGGCGTGCAGCCATACGACTCGTGAAGCCTGAAGCTGCAGAGTCGCAAACTTGTAAAGGTTCACAGGATTTTTCAATATGGGTTTGTCTCAACATAGAGGACCCCCAAAATTATTGTTCCTTGTAGTTCCCTGTTTCAAATCAAGCAAACGGAAACCGGCAAATCCATATTAAGTTCCTCCATTTCTTCCAAAAACAAACCCTGCAAAAACACACCCTGGGAAAGTGACGATGGTTCAACCGATCGCAACGTGCTACCATGATGCAAGTTGATGCCATGTCCCGTCGTTCGAGTGGGTGTAATTCTGCTGTGGATGAACAAAACCCCGCACCATTTTGGATGGATGAACCCCTATGAAAACAGGCGTAAACCACAGAAGGGTGTAGTAGAAGCACCCTTACCCCCTAGTGGACACACACTTACCCCCTACCCTCTTTTTGGGTTATTGACTGAACAATCTGGCTTTCGATGGTAATTAGCTGCTTTTTGGCAAAGCGCTGACATACCACCCTAACACATCGCGGGTATTTGGAGTAATTAGGGGGTATGCCCGGCAACAAGCCCACACCAATGGCCATGAGCGACAGGCACGCCTCTGCCACCTCCTTCTTCTTGCTTTTTCCTGAAGAGATGCGGACAGGGGAAGCGTGAGGGTCCCAAACAAAACGACTCACCCTTCTGCGCTTGTGTGATCTGGGTGAGAATTTTGATGGGCCCCGACCCTCTGGTGGACATCGTTTAGGTGTCTGCCAACAACTTTTTAGGCGGTCCCCCATGAAAATTCAAAACCATATGGAACTTACGCCAATGAAGTTCTCATGAAAGAGGTTTGGCAGTGGTTTATCTATCCCAAACAACTTATGCATGCAACATTTACTGAAATGTTGGTATATATTGCCAACAGTCGGATTGTCTGTAGTGATTTCCAAAAGCCCGCCGATTCTCTTCGCAAGCCGAAAAGTTGGATTCGCATGGCTGTTGAAGGTTCCTGGCTCGGACGGAAGCAACCACGTCTTCCAGAAAGGGGGGGATCTGACAAGCCCCTGTCGACCGCTTTGAGTTCGGAAGTGAACTCCACCAAAAGCATGCAACAAACTTTCAATAAACCTCAGTGTGGTTCTAAGTTCAGAACTCTTACCTCTGGGCCAGGATAGCGCAAGGAACTTTATGGCCGCCTGACTCGTTGAAGCGAGACTTCTGGAACCTTCCTTCCTGGAGTCGACGGGCCTGAGCACTGGCCATGCGCGGACATCCAATTTGAGTTCTGGTACCATGTTTGGAAGCACTTCCGAATGCCAAGACTACTTTGCCCGTTTCATGAACCCGCAGGACCGCCCTTTGTGGGTAAACGTAAGCCGTGGCTGAATCGGAATCTTGCTACATGGCCCGAAATGGCCCTGGGCTCAGACATTCAGTCAAGATTTATATATATATATATATTATATATATATATACACGCATAACGGCATTGGACATGACCATGATTATGCAACATACTCTTAGGAGCTAAAGCGTGTTGTCTTCCAGCTGATTTGTCTTCCATGCAAATAACACAGAAGGAGGACCAATGTCGCTTGTCTTTCTATGAACAAATGGCCATGGTCTCGGTTTTCATTAGGATCCTGGGAGGTCAAGCTCCGTCCTCAAGTGGACGCACACCATAAATTTCGTCGGTGAGCGACACCAAGTGCTGGCTCCAACACGGGGGAATTGGAGCAAGCAACAGGTCCTGAACTTTTGGATCCCATCTTGTCATTTTCTGAACAACCCTAGGATTTAGAGTTTGTGTCAAGCCCAAAAAGATTCCTTCTGGCCTACCTTGAAATTATCCGGAAAAGGGCACCCTCGAAAAAAACACACCCATTTACATCCCCTTTTTGCCGTTGACGGGAGCAAGCGCTTCGTTTAGGCAATAAATATCACCTGCAGCCTTTGAATTTTCAATGTCATTTAGACAAGCTTGTTTGGGAATCATTTCTTCTTGTTCCTTGGGCCTCTGAATAATAGATAGGGGTCCGCAGATTAACACCCAGCAAGGAAAACCGCGTGGAAGAAATTGGGTCCCGGCATTGATGTTGGCCTCTTCTGACAGGATATCATCATCCCTGGCGCAAAAAAAAAAACGATCTGCGGCTAGGGAGTGGGCTCAAAAGGCGTGGCTCGATTCAATGATGGTTTCCATCACTCCCAAACCACCATTAAGTAGGCATGCCGGGTTGTTGAGGGTGGCCTCGCAAATGCTTGACATGCCAAAACATGCGCAGTGCACCTCAGTCCGGGATGTCGAGCAAAGCGCCCCCGGTACACCGGGCGATCCTGTCCGCAACCCAAGGTGCAAAGCAACTCTCGTGCCGTGTCCATCTTGTGCGAAGCTTGTCATGAATGGGTTTGGGCCACCCAATCTGGCCGCGTGTCCACCTGTTTGATGCATCCCAACACTCGCACAATTACTCAAGACAAATCACGACCAGGAAGCTGGAAAGGCGCAAATCCCAAACCGAACCTCGTGCGGGTGCCTGTATCCCTTGAAATGTTGCAATTCCCCATGTTCGTAGGGGTTTTTTAAAGACCTCCAACCCGCAGACGTGCAAACAAGCCACCAGCTGCATCAAGATGAAGTCGGCAAACTCGTAGGGGTTGCTGCCAGGCACGTATTCGGGCCAAACATTCCTGGAGACGCGGCTTGGAGATGAAACATGCCCAGATTCGAAAGATACCTGCTCCAAACGAGCACACATCTCTCGGTACATTTCCGAAATATGCACACATGTACGCTTTTCAAGAAACGTGATGAAAGTCACGTCTCGTGAGCTGTGAGCATTTGTGTTGTGGCCATGGCTGTTCAGCGACTTTCAGCAGCGCAACGCACCGAAAAAGCGCAGCGCGATTTACGCGATACTTCCATCTTGCCTGGGTAGATCTCGCCTGCTCGCGTGCACCCACTTGGCGGCGCACATACGCCTGCCAAATGCTAAGCGCGCCTACTCCAAGCCTGCCACATGACACACAAACACAGACTCGTACCAGCGCTGCCGCTTGGAGTTGCGCACACACCTGCTGCATGACAGGCGCGCCCATTCACGTGCATCGGCTTGGCGTTGCACGCACGCCTGCACTGACAAGCACACTTGCTCAAGAACACCTGCTCAGCATGCACACACGCCTGCTAAGCGATAAGTTCACCCGATTAGCGCTGCACTCGCGCACATGCCAGGTGAGAAGCCCACCACACAGGCTCCGAGCTAATGTCCGTGAAGATTCAGGCTCCTCCGTCCCCGCCGACCCTTGTCGTCGTAGTGGCATCGTAGTTGTATCGTAGGAGTATCGTAGTAGTAGCAGCAGCAGCTGCTGCTGATGGTGCTGCTTCTGCTTTTCTGCTTTTCTGCTTTTTCTGCTTTTCTGCTTTTCTGCTTTTCTGCTTTTCTGCTTTTCAGCTTTTCTGCTGTTCTGCTGTTCTGCTTTTTTGCTTTTCTGCTTTTTTGCTTGTCTGCTGTTCTGCTTTTCTGCTTTTCTGCTGGTGCTGTTGTTGCTGTTGCTGCTGCTGCTGCTGCTGCTGTTGCTGTTGCTGTTGCTGTTGCTGTTGCTGTTGCTGTTGCTGTTGCTGTTGCTGTTGCTGTTGCTGTTGTTGTTGTTGTTGTTGTTGTTGTTGTTGTTGTTGTTGTTGTTGTTGTTGTTGTTGAGTTGTTGGTTGTTGTTGTTGTTGTTGTTGTTGTTGTTGTTGTTGTTGTTGTTGTTGTTGTTGTTGTTGTTGTTGTTGTTGTTGTTGTTGTTGTTGTTGTTGTTGTTGTTGTTGTTGGTGTTGTTGTTGTTGTTGTTGTTGTTGTTGTTGTTGTTGTTGTTGTTGTTGTTGTTGTTGTTGTTGTTGTTGTTGTTGTTGTTGTTGTTGTTGTTGTTGTTGTTGTTGTTGTTGTTGTTGGTTGTTGTTGTTGTTGTTGTTGTTGTTGTTGTTGTTGTTGTTGTTGTTGTTGTTGTTGTTGTTGTGGTTGTGGTTGTGGTTGTGGTTGTGGTTTTCGCTGTTGTCGTTCTTCTTGTTGTCGCTGTCGTTGTCGTTGTCATTGTCGTCGTCGTCGCCGCCGTCATCGGCGTCGTCATTGTTGTTGTTGTGGTTGCTGTTGCTGTTGTGCTTGTTCCTGTTCGCACATAGCCTCGCTCAGACTCAAAACTGCTTCATGCCTTACATCTCCATCCGGTTTGGCGCAACGCATGCCACGCCGTTTATCTTACCTGGCTAGTTGGCTTTGCTAGCTAATTAGCTGAATTGTTAACTGGCTGACTGACCTGTTAACACATTTTCAAAAGCGTTCTACTAGTGACGTGGTTAGGTTGCTACTGACGTGCTTAGCGAACTAGTATATAAGCGTTCTACCTGGCCTAACTGCACAAGTAGCTGTTTGGCCAAATATATGTCTTGTGCTTTTTATTTGGCTTGCAAGCTGGCTGGTACATCACTAGCTATCTTCCCAGTCAGCATGCAATCCGGCTTCTTCAGTTGCTCGCCTGGTGGCTCTCTTACATGCAAAAGGAGAGATGGCTTACATATTGATTCAGCCCATTTGCCATGACCTTTGAACCACGCAGCCCCAAACAAGTCGGGTCACTACTGTGGATGGACGAAATCCTGCACCACCTACGAAACCCTGGAATGATGAGTCCCCTGTAAATACCAACAAACAATGGTTTCTAATGGTTACAAAGTGGTGCGAAATGGATTTCGTCCATCCACAGTATGGCTAGGCCCCAAAGACCCATGCAGCCTCAGCCAAAGACCCCAACAGCCCCAAGCCAAACTTCGGACGCGCTCCTCTTCTTGTCAGGGACTGCTTGATTCGCAGGATGCTCCTGGCGCTCTGCTTTCTCGGAACAGGGGCATGCTGCGACACTTGCTCTCACTTCCTGAGTGGACTGGCCAGAAAAAGATTGAACTTTTATTTGCCACTAGAATGATCTTCGCAAACAGCTTAAAGTCCAGGAACTCGGGGAGTGAGTGCTTGCTGTTGACTCTGTAAAAGGTTCTTAACTTTTGCGGGTCCAATGTAAAGTCTCACCTGTTCCAACCAAAAAAAAAGTCAAGTCCAAGGATCCGTTGCCAAATCGCCAAAAAGAACACAGCTTCTCGGCTCTCTGCCTGTCAGGAAGGGCCTGTCAGGGCTGATTTCAGGGAAGAGGCTGGGGGTTTTAGAAAGGCCACACTGGTCCAAAACCTTGCTGGTTCTGAGTTGGCAATGGAATGCCCCCTTTTCAACCATCCCCCATGGCTTCCTTTAAGCAAATCCGGTTCATTCCCAACACCCCGTTTTTTCCTTCCCCGAGCACCCGTCTGAAACCAGACTGGAAAGCGTGGTGACCACTCCAAACCTCTGGTGAAGCCTCACTAAAACCACGCATTTGCCGCAGGCCTGTGAACTTCAAGGGCCCAATGGCTTTAAGTCACTGAAGTAGACCGCCAATGGAACCCACCATTCCACCCTCTCTCTCTGACTGCACCTGGCTTCAATGGAACCGCAAAAGGAAAAAACCAGAGACCAACAGCTGGGAATGTATCCACTGGGAATGTCTCAGTCAGCTCAACTCCGATTTTTTTGGGCTCGATGACCATGACCCTGAGTAACCAGGAGCGCTGAAAACTCAGCGCCTGCTGGTTATAAAATCACTGTGGCCTTTTTCAGCCCTCAAAGCCTAAAAATAGGAGCAGATTGCATGACAATCCCTGAACCTGGGTTGGTCTATTTGCAGCTCGGGGAAATATTCGCCACTGTTCAAGGGGGTGAAAAGAATGAATGTGAAACTAATCTCGGTTGCTTTCTGCTCTGCTAAATGTTTTCAACTTTTAGTGGTTTAATACGGAAAACCCACTAGTTGGAAAAGATCAAGTCCTAACATCCCTTGGCAAAATGCACCAAAGCAACGCTGCTGGCAGTGCTACTGATGCTGGTGATGCTGGCTGCATCATCGGCATCATCGGCATCATCAGGCTAGACAGACTCTTGTCGTAGTCCAGACAATTCACAGCGCGAAGACAAGAAAGTACTTCAAAGAAACTTCAAAGCGCGAACACAAGAAACTGCCAAAGACGGCAACAGTAACCCTTGCGACACGCGCCTGGAGTCCTGGCGTGTGAGCCTCGCAGGATGAATCCATCTGTTAAAGCGGCCATGGGTCAAAACTAAACCGCCAGAGAAAACCGCAGGTTCTGGTCCATTCCACTTACAAGGGTTCCGGGGTACCGATTTTTGACACGTCATGTATGACGGCGAGATCATCGGGTCGGGTCCGAAAATATACTTCCTCGTTTTGGAACAGAATTGGGGTTTGTCTTGGTGGCTTTCCTTTCATTCCCCCTTTAAACAGTCTGAAATCTGGAACAGTTCCGAAAGAGGATATCTTTCAGATGGCTTGTTTGCCCGAAGTTGCCGGGCCAGCTACTCTGGAACCCGCTGCCGTATCACACCCTCTGGGAACTTCGGGCAAATTCTCCCTACTCTCCGGGTGTCGTAGAACCCTTCTTGGAGTGTGCCAAGCTTATCCTGGGATAGACGCCGAGTCTGCCATGCTCAAAGCCCCTCACGCTAGTCATGGTCATGGCTACGATACAAGGATGCCTCATGATATTTCAAATCCCTGGATCCATGTCCATCTGATTTCATTTACCGGTGACCTTTTGGACAACTTGATGAATGGTTTCTAAAACCAATCTAAACCAGTGCCCGTCTAATTCTAGCCAAGCCAACCTAAAGATGGGTGTGTCTTTGTTCAGGGACCCCCTCCCCAAAAAAATAGATTGATGGTTTTCCTTTTGGCTTCCCTTTAAACAAACCCATCAAACCCCTAAAAAATCGGTTCCCGCAAAAAGGGTTCGACACGCGCAAAATTGGTTCCTCCAAGACCTCGAGCTGAGCTCCGAGCCAAACCCTGGGCGCAGCAGGCGATGAGCCGCACGATGACCGCCTGCGACAAGCAGGCGGCTTTAGCCTCTGTGGATGGATGCAAAGACAAAATCCCAACTGTTTAGATTGACACAAAAACGTTTCCGGACTTTTTCCTGGACTGGACTTTTGAGGTATCCAGACCTTGAAATTTTGACTTTAAACCTTCCTGGATGCTTAAAAAGGTCTTTCCGAAAAAAAAGAAAAGAAAAGTTTTAAGTCCAGGAACTCAGGGAGTGAGACGCCGATGTCCGGTTGATGGACAGCAGGCGAGCAACCCGAAAATGGTTTAACGGCCCTGGTCAAAGTTGCTGCCGTTTTCGGAGAAATGGTTTGACACTCGGGGGTCAAAGGTTCCCGAAAAAGAAGCCTCATGTAGGACAAAAAGGTGAGAAATCCCATACCTATAGTGACAACTGGCTCCACTGGGAGCAACATAGAGACTATCCACTTGAACGGTGGATTGCTTTACATGTCTCTTTGACATCATCCAAGGCGTGGTCCCCGAGTTTCAAAAGAAACTCTCGACTGATGTCAGCAACAAATTCAAGGCTCAGCTGACCTGGTCTTAGGGGAACCCCATCTCGTGTTAAGCGAAAGGGGCTCCATCGAAGTGGCTCTCAGATGTGGCCGTGGGAAAAAAGGATGCATCCTTTTTTGATTGGTTGACTTTAAAAGGGAACCCT